CCCCCTCTCTCTCTCTCTCTCTCTCTCTCCTAGAAATAAATAAAAAACATTTAAAAAAAAAAGTTAAAAAAAAAAAAGGATGATACCAGTACCTGTATTGCTACATTAGATCACTCACATAGGCACTTAGCATCTCCCCTGAGCTGTAGTGTGTTAATGTCAGAGACCTAGGATTTAGGCTTTGGGGCCTCAATGGGCCCTGAGGCCCCAAAAGGTCATCTGCTAGAACCCCCTCATTTTACAGGTGGAGGACCAGAGACTCCGAGGGAGGTGATGTGCTTACTGTTGTCAAGCTGAGGTTTTAGTAGATTCAGGCGTGTTCTTTGCTCAGGTGCCACCTCGTGGCGTTTCTGTGTCCTGGCCCCCTCCCCCCTTGCCACAGGCCGTGGTGGGCTGCTGCTTTGTGCTTGCACAACCCTTGGCATATAGACGGCTTCTGAGTACCAGTACAGGTTTGGGTGTGTGGTTTTATACTTTGGTCTCTTCTGCTAATCGGGGAGTTCCTCAAGGGCTTGGCTAATTTTCCAGCCTTGTATGTTCGGAATCGAGCTACCTGACAGCCACTAAGCAGTAGGGTGTTTTACATGAATGTGTTGTGGACGCTGGGGCAGAAAAGCTAGCAGGTAGTGGGATGGTGTCCAGCTTATGGAGAGGGGTGATCCATTGTGTGTCGTTCACCTCATAACTATTTATTGAGCACTTACTTTGTGCAGGCATGAGTCCATACAGAGGACAGACCTGTCAATTCCTTATAGAGTTTACAGTCTAATGGGAAGACTGACCCCGCATAACAAATTACATTTTATGCTTCCTGTTGTACTGAGTGCTCTAGAGAAGAGTAAGGGTGCCAGGAGAGCCAAGAGTAGGAACCGTGGCTTGACTGTGTGGGGAGAAGAGGTCAGGAAAGGGTCTTCTGAGGACCCAGTAAGCCTCGATCTGAAGGATGAGTAGGAGTTAACCAGCTAAAGTGGGAGTTGGAGACATGGGTATGGGAATCGCATGTGCAAAGGCCCTGAGGAAGGAAGGACCATGGTACATTCTAGGAATTAAGGAAGACCAGGACAGCTGAGACTGGTGAGATGGGCAGAGGCCAGCTTCTAGCGAACTTTGTAGGTCATATTACAGGTTTCCAAATTTTAGCCTGAGGGCAGTGGAAACCCTGTGAAGTAACTGTGCTTAATTCTGACTACTTGCTTTTAGAGAAAAGTTGACATGGGAATAAAAGGTGACTGGGATGATAAAGGATCAAAAGTTCACGTCCTGTTTGGGGTATTTTGTCCAAAGAAGAAAATAAAAGATTTCACGACGTGTGAAGGAATGTTATGTCCAAGAGGAAATAAGCTTGTTTTGTGTCGCTGCAGAAAGCAAACCTCAGACAAGTAGAGAGATGGTCAAGGGGGCGGCCCTTGTCTGAACGTCAGAAACCGCTTCCTAAACCCTCGCACTTGGCCTGCCGCGGCGGGTGGAGGACAGGAGGGGGTGTGTAGGCACGGCCTGCTGCAAGGCCACCTGTCAGGGAGCCTGGAGTAGGAAGTCCATGCGGTAGGAGTGGCCTTCGGGCCTTTTTATGCTGAGAGTCTGTAGTTCCATACATCAAGGAACGTCTGCACATTTCATTCTGCCTTGCAAATGATTCAGCCGACCTGGAACCTGACTTGATCTCTTTCTTTTCTCTGAACATTCATGAACTTGGACTTTGTAAAAGTAAAGTTGTAAAATGCAGTAGGTTGTGTTTAACTTAATAGTATTTAACTTTATTAGTATTAAATCCTCAAAGTTGTACTTATTGAATTATTCAGGTAGAGGAGTCCTGGGGTGCCCAGAACAAACTACTGTTATTGGTAGGTTAGCCCGAAGCTGACAGTCGTGGCTAAAGCAAGCTGATGTGTAAATGGAATTCATCATTTCAAGCTAAGGGGAGAATACATTCCAAGAGAAACGAAAACACCAGGATAATAAGCACTAGCTACTCATGGGAGGTTTTTGTATTCGTGTGTAAATTGGAAGAGAAGGCCAAAGAAAATAGAATTTCTTTTCCCCAAAGAAAATTGGATGCTGCTTCTCCTAGGAGAAGTTTGGACATCATGCAGGTAACCACATTCATGTTACAGAAATAAGAAGCAACAGGCAAAAAAAATAAAATAGCGAGCGTTGTAGCCTGTAACCAGCTATCAGATGGGGAATTGAAAGGCAAGGAGGATTGGAAATAATTGTGGTAGAAGTGATGGATGGAGTAGAATTCTCATTTGGAATGGAAACGGCGAGGAGGAATCGTCTCCAAGCCATCTGAATGTGGGGGGGCAGCGTGAGGGGGGAGAATGCCAGCGATCCAAGCGCTCTGGGCTAGAGCAGTAATGAGGGTTTCCGCTTCCTGGGCATGAGCTGGGATGCAGCCTCCCACGCACAGTCACCAACAGGCTTTGTTGGTGGAGACTCCCCGGGCCTTGCTTGCTGTGTAGATGGACACCCAGGGAAACGGATCGACTTAGCGTACACACTGCACAAGGTGGGCTCTCCCTTCTTTATCCTCACCCTCCTCCTGGTTGAGTTGATAGTTAAGATGGATGGTGAGGTCTAGTGGATGAATGAGCTGAGATTGTGTGTGTGTGTGTGTGTGTGTGTGTGTGTGTGTGTGTTTCTTTTTTTTTTTTCTTTCTTTCTATGGGGGGGGAAAAAGCGGAGTCAAAGAATCCGATTGCAGACCCTAAACTGTTGCTTGACATATGGGGCATAATGATCTCCGCAGGGAGAGAGGCAATTCTGTGGGCAGTCAGGCTTCACTCTGAGGTCTGTCTTCATGGACTAATGCATCTCTTGTCGCTCTTTCCTTTGGGGAACGACGCAGCAAGCAGAGGCCACTAGAAGGAAGTACGGGGCATCCAGCGAGGCTCCCCCAGCGAAACGGAGGCACACGGCGGCATTCGTCCCAGCCAGGAAAGCCGCTGCTGATGGAGCACAAAGGACTTTCAAGGGGAAGGCTGAGAAACCATTTTCCCCGAATAAGTCTTCGGTTGGTGTGAGTGATACAGACCGGGTGCAGAAACCGTGCATCAGGACTTCTTCGTTATTTAAAAACAACCCGGAGATTCCAGAGCTCCACAGGTATGTTCAGGGGCGGACGCTGTGCAGGAGTGAGAGGAGTTGAGTGTGTTCGGCCCTTGTCTCTGTGGACGGGAGCTGACGCCCGGGTTTTGTCCGTCATTTGCAGACCTGTAGTGAAGCAGGTGCGAGAACAGGTGTTTACTTCAGACGCTTTTCACGAGCTGGACCTCCACCCGCACTTAGTGAGTATCTCCCGGTATCCCGCGTGGTCGGTTTGTTCGATGTGGTCGCTCGTTTGGAACGTCCGGGGAGAAAAATCAGAGAGCGGTTGTTTCTGCTCCGGGTTAGCTGAGCGGAGTCAGATGGGCGCGCTGCCCTTCTGGGATGATCCCCGTGAGCTTGGGCTACTGCCCGCTGTCCTCACCCCCACCCCCACCCCCGCCATGAGGACGCAGACACTCCCCCTCACCTAGTTCAAATTGGGCCGACCGTCCACTCGCTCTGCCCTAGGGCAGGGTCCTAACCGTGGGCTGATGGGACTCGAGGCCGGTTGGATGGGGAGGGACCTGAGCTGGCATCTTCCCATCCAGGGTAGTCTGCTGTTACAAAGAACGGAAGGAAGACGGTGCTGTTTTAACACCCGTTTCCTACAAACAGATGGATAGTTTTTTTTTTTTAATTTAACCGTGAGTGGAGTTTCTACTCTCATTTATGAGTGAGGAGAGGAAAACGCAGTAACTTTTAGGGAATCTGGATTTCCTTCGCTCCAGTGGCCGCAGCTCACTGACTCCCTTAGGGTGCCCCACGTAAGCTGTTTTTGCATGAACGGGGTTGAGCAGGGACATTGAGCCGGTCGTGCCCTGGACGCTGGGGCGGGTGGCCTTGTCGTGAGCACCGTCCTGTGCGTCAGAAGGTGTCCGGCAGCGCCCGTGCCTCTGCTCGCTTACTGCCAGCGGTTTGGAACCACCAAAGATTTCTTTAGACGTTGCCACCTGTGTGGGGGTGGGACAGAACCTCCCACAGGTGACACTGGCTTGGAAGAACTCGACTTGAACAGTCATCGGTTTTAGCCCAGTATCTTTTTTCTTTTTGCATTCAATAGGTTTTTGCCAAAAAAATCAGTAGTTAAAAATGTGTGTGTTTTTTTTGTTTTTTTGTTTTGTCTTCTCTTTTAGATTTCCACAATAAACACGGTCTTACACATGACTAGTATGACCAGGTAAGGAAGGGTTCTAGGCTGGTCTCGATTTTCATAAGACTTGGGCGGGTGTCACCGGGTGAGATCCGAGTGACCTGGGGCACACACACAGCGCATTCTGTCTGGGTGTCAGCACTACCAGGTCGCTGCCCGTTGAGGGCCGCGTCACTCCCCACTCAGTTCCCCCGCTTGTTAAACGAGGAGACCGAGCCCCCGTCCACGTGTGCTGTCGGCTCTGAACTCGTGCAGTGTGTCCACGTGATCCTGCTGCCGTTGTGCTTCCCTGAGGACAGTATGTCCCGACACAGAATTTCTTGTGTCGCTGTTTACTAGTAAGAATCAGGCAAAAAGACAGGAGTAGTACTGGGTTGGAGATATTGAAAAAACTGTTTGAATGTTTCATAGTGATGGCCTCTGGAAAATCTGGAAAGTGGAATAGTAAAAGGTGCAGAGCAGAAATGAACTGCCTTTTTGTGAGCACCTGTGCTTACTTATATTTTAGTAATCATCACGTTTTACTTATAGGTGAAATCAATGAGTATTGAAGAATAAAGAGCCTTACCAATTTTTTATTGTTTCACCAACCAAATTTAAATGAATTCTGTGTCCTTTCTGTGGTTTGTTTTCAAATGCACATGTGGACACGTCCTGGTGCGTGTAACGGCTGTGCCTCGGTTCTCTGGAGAGTGAGCAGAGCCCCGGACTGTCAGGTGGCTCACAAGAGTCCACGTGCCCTTTTGCGTGGGAATCTTGCCATGACGCTTTTCCGGGTCCCACTGCTGCCACGGGAGGCAGGTGTGTGTGGTATGCTCTTGCGGTAGCTCCAGCCTGTCACCACGTCTGTGCTTTTTTTTTTTTTAATCAGTCTGCCAGAATGGCCAGTCTCTGGCTCGCCTCAACATTCTCAGCTGAGTTCCAGAAATTTAATTGAGGTTTTATTCCCCCAGTCATCAGAAGCTTCTCGGCAACTTTGCTCGAACATTTCGATACTCTGGGGTGGCGGTTGGCAGGCAAAGCAAAGCGTGGGGGCAGTTACGCTCGGTGTGTCCCTCTCCTCCGCCTGTAAGCACGATGCGGGGGGGAGGGGGCGCGGAGATATTACAGACAAGCCTGTGTTCTCTCTTTCGGGTGGCCGCAGCGTGCAGAAGCAAAGCATCCCCGCATTGCTGGAGGGCAGAGATGCTCTGGTGAGGTCTCAGACGGGCTCAGGTCAGTCACCGTTTAATTTCGGCCCTTCTTTCCCCAGTACCAAAGCCACGGTCACGTAGTAAGTTGCCTGTCTGTGGTGGCACTGGCTTTGTTTTGTTGGGGGAGGAGGGGAGGCCATGCCTGCTCTTGATCAGAGCCCTGAATTTGCTCTCCCAGTGAAAGGCAGGGGGTGGTTGATGGTACTGTGACCGGGAGTGACCCGGACGTGGTCATGTTCCGCCGTCACTCTCCAGGACCTCTGTCAGAGCTCTGCCCAGTCCACTATCTATGGCTCGAGCTACCTGTCCTCCCTCCAGTGGGGGGATAAATATTTTCTTAGAATAAAGCACAGAGTACACGCTGATTGGATGCTAGTTGTTTTGCTCCAACACAGAGCACAGATTTTTCTTGTTCCAAATTGTCTGTAGACTTGTTCTCGTGGCCTATTGTGCCTCGAATGGGGCTGGTCAGCTCGTCTCTACTCCCTCCAGGTCAGCTACCGCTCGGGTGGGTGGAAACCCAAAGCTTTTTCTTTTTTTTTTTTGCCATTCCTTGGTTTCTCTCTGGTCTTTAGAGTCTAGCTCTGGGGTTCAGACTGGCTTCTAAACACCTCAGTGCTGCCCAGATCATGCCCTTGACAGGAGGCTCATTTGAGGGGTTAAGGATGACTTTAAAGGAGGGTTTTTCCAGCTTTGAAGGAGAGTCGTCAAGTTGAGCTTTTGTGCAACTTGGGAAATGTGTCATTGTCTCCCTTCTTAGCTGGATAAAGGGGCTGAAGCCACAGCGTGTTTTTTGGAAGTACTGGATTGACAGAGCAAAATGGGCAGTTGTGGCAGACAGGTGGACGCGGCTTTTACCTCTCTTGAATGTAGGACATGCACTTTCCTGTCCCCAGAGTTTAGTGTTACCCAAAGGTAGCAGAGACCGTTTTCTTTACTGCCTTTGCCCTTCCTACATCTTACAGGGTCTGTGAGTTTTAATTGCTTCTGTACTTTTTTAAAAGGTAAAACTCTTGCCTACTGCATCCCCGTGGTCCAGTCTCTTCAAGCAATGAAATCAAAAATACAGGTGAGTTTGTTGCTCGTGGTACATGAGCAACCATCGAACTGAACCAAAGCAGTACCAGTGGGACCAAAAGGATCCGTTTTCATTTAGCGTTATTTTCCTACCCCTTTTTAAATTTATTCATTGATGTTTATGTCATATAAACACACCGCATCTGAAGACTGTGCCCAGGGGAGGATAGAATAACTGTGTTTTGTAATCGCCACGGCACGTCCAACAGAGAACATTTGTAAAATAAATGCCCCTCGCGTGTCAGGCGTTGTGCTGGATGCTTTGCCTGTGTTACCTTCTCGAATCTTGAACCCCACCCCCTGCCCCAACATCACAGGTATTACTGTTAATCTAATTTTACAGAAAGAAATGGAGGCTCGGGAAGCAGTGGTAGAATCTGGTCTTTAGTTGGGAAACGCAGTTAGACAGCATTTGGGCCAAAGGGGCCAGAATCCGGCTCCCCAGGAGGCCAGTTAACTGCCAGCCTCCAGAGGCACCGGCATCAGCTCAGAGCCCCGCCCAGAATCCCACACATATGCCCCTGCTTATCCTCAGTAGGGAGGACATGGTGAGATCTGCCTTCAGAGATGAGGTGGGCGCACAAGCAGATGAGAAGAGGTCTTTGGTTATGTTTTTCCTCGGTGTGGACGTACGGGGTTAGGCGGCGGCCAGGCTGTCTTGATACTGAGTGACTCAACAGGTAGTGATAGCACCGGATCGTAGCCCAGAGGCTAAAACCTATACCCGCGAGTACACACAATACGAATAAGGTAGGGAATAAATAGAGAAATGGGAGAAGGAAAGGCCTTCCTTCCAGTAGATTCCAGTGGACATCTGTGGAAGTGATGGAGGTGGAACGTCACGTCTGGCGGATGCTGAGTACCGTCTACACGGGTCGTCACGTGCTGAAAGGAGTGGCAAAAGCGGCATGAAAACTGGGATATTTACTAGGTCTCAAAGTATCTCCCTACAAGATCCCTCTTAATCACAAAGGGGAGGACAGGGACTCTACCATGGGGAAGCCTGGCTGTCACCGTCTTCGCCCAGGTGGTCGGCATGGCACCCCCGGGGCTGAGATGTGTCCGCCTCATGCACTCCCTCCCGATAGGTGCCCAGAGGACACAGCGTCACTTCTGTGGCTCTCGCCAAGCTTTAGTCATAAGCAAACATCAAACAAACCCAAGTCAAGAGACATTCTGCAAAGGGGCCACTGCTCTTCAAAAGTATTAAGGTCACCAAAAAAATTTTAAAAACCTGAAACGCTGAAGACCTTCCTTAGGTTAAAAGAGATGAAAGAGACCTGGTAGCTAAATGCAGATGTGTGGTCCTGACTCGGATCCGACTTTGGAGCAAGGATGTTAGTAAGTCAGTGAAATCAGGATGTAGTCTGTAGGTTGATGAATTCGTAGTGTCTCATCACTGTTGGTTTTCCTGGTTTTGACTGCTGTACTGGGATTTTGAAAATTGATACCGTCTGAGGAAGCTGGGAGCAGGATGTGAGGGAGTCCTTTGTATGATCTGTGTAATTTTTTTAAGCCTAACTTTATCTCACAATGAACGTTTACATTATTTAGAATTTATTTAAATAATTTAAAATCAATAAAACAGAAACCCTGCACAATACCCAAGTGATGGGACCTTACCTAGCCATAAAACTGGCATTTTTTTCAGTTACTCTTTGTGAACTCGACAGGTGTTTTTGCATGTTGATCAAAAGGCAGAGTAGCAAACAGTATGTACTGGATGGTCTGATTTCATAAATAATACTGTGTGTGTGTATGTGTGCATGGAAACAGAAGAAAGATACTTGAACTTTTAATGCCGATTTCCTCTGAGGTGGAGAAGTGAGGAATTTATTTCCTACAGGGGACTGATTTTTTCTTCCCGTTGAGCACCTTAGAGTAAGATAATTCATACAAAGGACTTGGCATCGTACCGCTACCTCGCTAGAAAAGAAAGGCAAAGTATTGCAGAAATGTGGTAAAGTCTCATGCATTTATAAATTTTAGGACAGTTCCTTGATAGCGGCAGGTTGTTATTTATATATACATAGTTGGAGAGTTGGGGACTATTTGAGCTGGAATGGGTCCTGTAGTTCCAGCCCACCTGTCTCTTCATAGAGAACCAGAGAGATTCGATGACGTACCTGAGGTAGGTAGCGTGGTGGGCAGCTCTGCTCAAATCCTGGGTCTGAGTGTGTCTTCAGGCAAATCATTCCAGCCCTCTGTGCCTCCGTGACTTCACCGTGGGGTGGAGCCAGCGGGCCACCGTGAGCTTGTGAGCGTGGACGGTTGAGAAGCATCACCATCGTCCACACGGGCATGTGGCTGGTTTGAAAGGCAATGATTTTATTTGCTTCTATCCAGAGACGTTCACAAGCCATGTGGTTGTTCTTACTTCCTCCGTGTATTTTAATGTCGGTAACAGATCATTCTGTCCAAGATTGAAGTCTTCTGTAGAAAGGGTTCTCTAAGCCCAAATTTAATTCACTTATTTCAAGGAATATTCAATAGAGACCCTTGGAGTTCATCATAAAATGATTTGACCTGTAAAAAACCTATCTGGAGGGAGCAGGAAACTCCAGGCGTCCAGCAGAGTCTTAAATTACTTTGGCGATGGAATGAAGATGGATTGCTTTTCTGTGTTTTCGCTCTTTGAGTTATTTGGACTCTGATTTTTTTTTTTTTAAGAACACATCCATCCTTCTTTACTCACTTTTGCCCTGCGAGGAATTGATTTTTCTTTCTTCCTCTCTGTGTAGTAACACCTTTTGAAATGTCAGAATCTCCTAGCGTCACAGTGCGGCACGCCGGTACCGTTGTACTAACATGTTTACCGTTCCTTCTGGGCTCCGGCGCAGCCTCGCTGACTCGATGTCGAGTACAGGCGGCTCGAGTTTGAATTCCAAATCCTTTCCTCCTCATGGGTAAACGCTTCCTATGCAAAACATGAAAACCGTACTTGTAATTGAATCTGTTCTAAATCTGCACTCAGCTTCCGCACTGACATTGTTCTGATTCAGTCCTAAGCGTCCGGGAGCACCCCTGACTTCAAGGCCTTTCTCAGGTTGCTTTTTGTCTTGCCTTATGTACGTATTTTAGATACACCATGCACGTTAAAAAAAAAAAAAACTGAAAGAGTACCGAAATATACACAGCGAGAAGTCCTTACCGTCCCCTGTCCTCCGCGTGGGAGGGCTCTCTGGGGACGCGGTGGTCCTTGTGCTCATCTTGTGGCCCTCCCAGGGCTGGTCTCTGCAGAGGGAGCGAGTGGGGGTGCGCACAGTCCCCTGCCCCCCACTTCCTGGACCCCCAGCCGGAGCTTCTGTCTGTTCTTCTGTCGTGTTCGGCACACTGCGCAGGTGGTTGCGTGGTGTTCCCTTGCTGGTGTTCCCCTTCCATGTTTTGGGATGGCGTCTCAGCAGTCCCCGGCCCACGGGCCTTGTTTTTTTCGTGGCCGTCTGGTGTCCTGCACGTAGGTACCCCGAGTTACTGCCTCAGTCCCTCGCTGGTAGAACTTTCCTTCCGTCCACTATTTCACTACAAACAAGGCTATTATAAATGCAGTCTGTAAAATATTTTACTTTTTAACATACGCTTACGGGTGTATCATTTACAGAAATCCCTATCAGTGGAAGTGGCATTTAAATTTGTGGATGACGCCACAATTGAACTTTATTTTATTTATTTATTTTTAATTAAAAATTTTTTTTTGAGAGGATTCAAGTGAGCAAGGGGCAGAGAGACAGAGGGAGAGAGAGAGAGAAGCAAGGCACAAGCTCACTAGAAGTTGGGGCTCGAGCTCACCCTGTGCGGGGCTCCAACTCACGAGCCATGAGATCGTGACTTGAGCCAAAGCCAGATGCTTAACCAACTGAGCCACCCAGGCGCCCCCATAATTGAACTTTAAATGGGTTAGGCCACTTGGCGCTCCCCACGGCAGTGCAGGAGCCCCGCTCACCCGTGCCCTCGTAACACCACCGGCTGTCTCCGTGTCGCTCCTTCGACAGTGGAGTTGAACATCTTCATGTGTGTAAGAGCCGCGTCTTGAATTCTTCCATAAATTAGCTATTTGTGTCGTGTCTCCATTTTTCTATATAAGTTGTTGTGGTCTTTTTTATTTTTATGTCTTAATTGAATTGTAGACCTTTTGTAAATGAAGGAGATTGGCCCTTTCTCTCCCCTTGTTTTGTCATTTATTACTTAATTTTATTTAGGTATTATTTGCCCCTTCTAAAGTTAAAAGCTTCTGTGTTATAACACTTCTTAGTTTTATATAATATAAACCATAGTTTCTGAGATTTATGTCATCTGTAAAAAGGCCAACTTTACTTCTCTAACTTTGTTTGCTTGTGAGGCCTCTGAATAATTTATCTTTTCACTACTGATGCAAAATGCACCTTATTTCTTACATTTCTGTATATATTTGATTCTGTTCTATACTCGGTTTGCTATTATAATCTGTGTTTATATGCCAGTGTCTGTTTTTTACCTGATGGTGGTTCTAAATTGTCTTAGCGTCTGGTGTTTTTCTGACACGGTTTGGTTATTCTTGCACACCGACTTTTCATGGGAACTTTGAAGTCAGCTTGTCTCATTACATGTACTGTTTCATACACGCGTGTGCATGTGTGTGTGCTTGGGGCGGTTTTCTTAGGATTGCGTGGCATTTATGGGTTGACTTAGAACTGGCTTATTTGTACTGTGGAGTCACCCAGTTAGTTGCAGATTATTTTATGATCCTCAGAAAGGTTTTACAGTTTCTGTCCTATGGATTTTATACTTTTTTTGTTGTTGCTGCTCTCGGGTGATTTTTTTTTCCCCCTTCCATTGTATTTTCTAACTTTTTTTTATGTCAGGAGACCATAGATTTGTGTGTATTAATTTTGCATTCAGCTACTTGACTGAGTTGTCTTTCTTTGAAGTAGGTTTTCAACTGATTCTCTGAAGTTTTGTGTTTATTTTTTTTTAGGACACACTATCATCTGCTAATAATGACAGTTTTACCTCCTATTTTCCGATTTTATATGTATTTCTTTTACTTGTCTGATCTCATGAGGCAGAACCTTTAGAACAAGGTTCCGTGAGAAGAGTGGGGGGGCGGCAGCGGCCCTCTCTCTAATGAGACCGCTTCTGATGTTGGCAAGTGGCTGCCCTCAGGTCCTGTCCACCAAGGCCTTGTGACCTTCGTTCCTTGACGCATGGCACTTGTTCCCTTGTGTGTCCGCAGCGCAGCGACGGCCCCTACGCCCTGGTGCTGGTGCCAACGAGGGAGGTAAGTGGCCTCACCGTCGGGACAGCTTTTAAGCAAGTACTTTCCTTTTGAAATTAAGACTCGTTTGAATTTGAAAGTGGGTTTTGCCATATTTCTCCCTCCTACACCCTCACTTGGCTCGGGGGGGGGGGGGGGGGCCATCCTTCTGGTTCCAAATTCAATGACTGTGAAAATCCTGAGCTAAGTGTGGAAAAGCATTCCCCTGCTGTCTAAAAACCAATGACGCTCTAAGTCTCTGTCCTTTTAAAAGGAATTAAAGTAATTATACTTCTAGACTTTTTTCTTGTTTCTTTTAGAACTTAATCAAAAATTAGAGCAGTCAGCCCTCAAATGAACTCTTTTTTAAAGAGGCCATTGGACCAAGAATTTTACTTGTTCTCGAGAGTTCAGCTTCTCGACATTTTTCTTCTTTCTTGGTGGGAATCTCTTCTGTCTGATCTATTTTATTTGCCCACAGACGCAAGTATAGATTAGGGTATCTGTTTTCTCTGTCAAATGCTAATCACTTCCTTGCAGAGAATTGATCGTGGAGATGGAGGTTTCTCCTTAGCCTGTTACACAGCCCTGCGCAGCTGCAGTGCCCTCTCTCAGCTCCGTCCTGGGAAGGTGCAGGCATGGAGCTGTTTACGTTTTCACAGCGGCAAACTTGCTGCTTCCCCAGGACGCACCATGAATACTAAGCATGTGGAAACTCCGTACATACCCTTGGATAAAGGGATTGCGTTCAGGCTTTTCGGTGGCTGTTAATGGTTATAACCTACATTAATTTTCACTTCCTCTGGTCTCCACTGGGCTTGTTAGATTTTGTTCCTTTAATAAACTTGGGAATGACCATCTCTCAGTGCTCTAGTGGGCGTGTTTGAAGGATACCTGATGCCGCCTTTAAAGCAAGGTGCTAGCCTGCTAGCCTGCCCGTTGCTTTTCCAGGTGACTCCTTCCAGCATATTGTTTTCTCTCTTCCTAAGGAGAGGCACGTGCAGGATGGGCACACTTCCCCATCCTTGTGCACCGTAGGCTCGTGGTTCTTCTCTGTGTGGCACTCTGGGAATTTGAGCCAGCAGAGGGAGCACAGAACACTGTTTCTCTGTGTGTCCAAGGAATGGACGCAGCCTCTCTGCCCAAGCCTCCAGACTGGCAGCTTTCGGACAGTCTGAGAGCAAGGTATATTTTCCGAGTAGATTCTGTGGATCACATTTCTTTTTTTTCCCTGAAATCTTAATTTAAGGTCCAGGCTGGGATCCTGATCACTTTACATTGTCTAAATTTTTTTAAAAGCCCTGGAGGTTGGGGGGGGGAATGGGAACAGCCTTGCTCAGTACCTGTAACTCCTCACTCCTTACAGCTGGCTCTGCAGAGCTTCGACACTGTCCAGAAGCTGCTTAAGGTAAGGCGGGCCCATGAGTCCGGTTTTTTATCTTTTTTTCCTGACTTTTTGAGAAAAAGAGAAATCTACCAGTTTTAACCTTTGTTTTCAAAAAGCAAGGAATTATTTTAGTTTTGCTCTGTTCCCTGGGCGTCTCTATCCTCCCCAGGTATAATTTGTAGGTTTTTACTGATCTGAAGTTTACCAGCTGCCGATTTCTAGCTTAGATTACTAGGGTTTCCTGGTGCTTAGAGTCCTGTAATTTGTTCACCATCGTCCCTAAACAAGGTACGCATGGAGACTCACAGGTATAACCGAAGTGATCACATGGAAAGCTACCGGAAAGCCGTACGTAGTATTTAAGAAAGGAGAGAGTGGGCTTCAGAGCCCGCGCCTGCCAACCCGAGAATTGATCTGTCCTTCCTTTTGTCAGGGGTGGGGAGTAAGGAAGGGCTGTGCTTAGGTCAACTGTGTTTTCCACTCAGCCTCGACGGGGCAAGGCAGAGGAGCTATCTGAAACATTTAGAAAGCCTCTGTTCCTCTCGCAGCACTGGGAGCTAGTTCCAGAACTGTGATTAAGTGATTGCTGCTAGTCGCTGGGGAGGGCGATGCCTGGGAGCGGGATCTGCACAGTGCACCGTCTTCAGTGAAGCCTAGGTCTTCCCTCCCAGCTTCTTCAAGGAAAAAGACCTTGGAATCAGTCTCTGTGTCTTCAGGAAAAGGGGCTCTGCACTGATTTTCATCTTCTGTCTTCCTGTAGCCGTTTACCTGGATCGTGCCTGGCGTGCTCATGGGGGGAGAGAAGAGGAAATCTGAAAAGGCCAGGTATGCGGAGCCTGGTTCATTGTTCCTGCTTGAGTCTGAGACCTGGTCCCTCTAAGCCTGGAGAGAGCCTTGTCTCCACCTGTGCTTCCTAGTCCCAGAGCCGAGGGACAGATTGAGCCAGTAAGCGGTCACCTGTAGGCGGTGCTGTCCTATGAATACCAGTGGGCCCACAGAGGTCCCCTTCCAATGTGGTCGGTGCCGATGCTCACTGTCCTCTTAACTCCCTTCCCCTCAGGACCCCTCGGTCCCCCTGTTTGGTATCCAGCCCTCATGGTGACTCTCTTGTGTACATTGGGAGTCTGGGGTCTGGTCACGTGGCTCTATAAGAGCAAGATCCTAAACTCACATGTAATGCTTTACACTCTGCTTTTTATACCTGAAACGCTGATTCCTAATTCTGGGGAGGAACTGGAAATGGGCGTCAGGAGAAAATGTTGCCAGATAAATCCCACACTGTCTGGATTCTTTCTGAAACGTTTTTATTATATTCTCACTTAATGCGTAGTAGTAATACCCAGCTGCATGTGTGTGTATTTTGTAATTGAGGAGTAAATATTGAACTTGAAACCTAAAGGTATTGGTTAGATTTGGTTCAGCTGTAAATAACAACAGACAGCAGTGGCACAAACGCTATGGCAGTTTTGTTTTTCTTTCACATCTGCGAAGCCTGACGGTGACCCATCAGGGCCTGCCTGACGCTCGAGCTGGGGTCCCGGTCCCTTCAGTCATTTTGTGCCGTGAAGTGAGGCTCCCATATTTAAGTGTACTCCATGGCCTTAAGAGAGTTGCTAGAGCTCCAGCCATTGCATCTTGTGCCCTGCCAGCAGGAACAGAAATAATCCTCCCTCCAAAGATATTTGTGGTTTTTGCACCATTCCCTTTGTCCTTTTATCCCGTTGCTTGAACATAGGTGTGTGACCAAACTTACCTTCATGAGAGGCTGGAAAATACACTCAGCTAAAAATTGGAAGCTTGTCTTGCTATGGAAATAAGGAGTAAAAGGTGTTGGGGAGTAAGAACTGGGATTTCCTCCCCCTCGTCTGCGGGACCGAGTCAGGCCCCCGTTGTACAGAGGCTACAAACAAAAGTTCAGTATAAGAAACCATTCTAGCCGTTAGACCACATTGGCCTGCGGTAACTCGTTGAAGCTGGAGTTTCCATGGCACAGAAACCTTCAAGAACAGGCGAGGTGACCATCTCTGGAATGTTCTAGAAAGGATCCATGAACCAGATAAAGATTATACAGTAAAGATTCTTTTCAGAGTTAATTAAGTTATGATTTTAATATAATTTCAAATCTTAATAATTACAATCTAGACAAGAGAAACTTAGGGGGAAAATGGAAGCTCAAATATATCTTCATCTCCGTTTGTCCTCACGTCTGTCGGGACTTCAGGCTGCGCACACTGGTGCTAGGAATGAATCTGCTTCCCGTGCCTCCTTTCTGTGTTTTCTCTTGATGCAGCCTCATTTGACTTTCTTTTATCATGTATAATTTTAAACAGACTCCGCAAAGGGATAAATATCCTTATCTCGACTCCTGGGCGACTGGTGGATCACATCAAATCCACAAAGAACATTCATTTTAGTCGGATACGGTGGCTGATTTTGGATGAAGCAGACAGGTGAGCCTCGTCCAGAAGCATGGCGGTGGGGCAGAGAGCCGTTTCTGCTGTCTCGTTGCAGCATTCCCTTTGCATGCGGAGTAAAACCCCTTCTCTTGAAACCACAGAATCCTGGATTTGGGTTTTGAGAAGGATATCACGGTGATACTCAATGCCCTGAACGCCGAGTGCCGGCAACGACAGAACGTCTTGCTGTCGGCCACGCTCACAGAAGGTGGGTTGAAAAGACACGCTCTTTGTACTTAACCAAGAGGAATGATCTAGATGTGATGTGCGTCGTCTGCCCGCAGCGGTTCTCGGCGCTGGGAACGGAGGGTCGGGGGGCGGTGCCCCTGAGGGACTGCTTTCCCAGACCCCTGCCCCGCACACCCAGCCTCCCTCTCCAGTCACGCAAGGCTCTGCCGCGCTCCCCGGGGAGTGGGGGCGGGGCAGGTCCAGAGCTGCCTCCCGAAGGAGAGTGTTCCTGGTGCTCGTGGCGGGGTGCGAGGGAGGGTAGGGGCTGACTCCCGTCTACCCCGAGGCTTCGTGAGGGTTATCAGCCTGCCTTTCTCCTAAAGAGCACTGAGCCTCTTCAAGTTCATGTCTGTCTTCCCATACTCACGAGATGGACATTCTGAGCTCTCCTTCATAGATGGGGCACAGAGGCTTGGAAAGTAACAGCCGCCAGAGTCACCCACCCAGCACAGCCCAGCTTTCGCGTTCTCAGGTCTGGCCTACGTGTCCAGCTGGCCCCGTTGCGGTGTGCAGGTGTATCCTAAGTAACCTTAAGTGTAAGAGAGAATCCAGGATTCTGTGCTCAGAAGTTTGGGAAATGCCACACCTTTCTTCCTTGTATCAGACATTCTGGTGCATGCCAGCACAGTAGATTCTAGAAGCCTCGCAAACCCTGTGAAGGAATCCCGTGACCCGCTTTCATCAAGGCTTTCGTAGCTTCCTCGACCGTAGAGCCCTTTCAGGGCAGGGAGGGGACAGCCGCTCCGGCCCCTTTCGGTGGTCTTCCCAGGTCAGACGCTAGCAGTGCTAGTGTGGAATCTGGGCCTCGCCCGCAGGACTGACCCTCAGAGGGCAGATCCTTGCTGCCCAGGTGTGGCCCGTAGGCGCTTCTTCCTAAGCATGGGGCGGGGGGGCACCTGCTCGAACCCGCCTTCACAGTGTCACCGGCTCGCCTTTCTCACTTTTGCTCCAAGGTGTGACGCGACTAGCTGACATCAGCTTGCTCGATCCTGTCAGGGTCTCTGTCCTGGAGGAACACGATGGGAGGTCCGGCCCAAAGCGCAGCGCGGTTCCTGGGGTTTCCCCTCCACCGCCTGGTGACGAGCCGGGTGGCTTCGCCATTCCGGGGAGTCTCGATCAGCACGTGACCCTGGTTCCCAGCAAGCTGAGGCTCGTCTCTCTGGCGGCCTTCATCCTGCAAAAGTGCAAGGTGGGACTGCACGCCAGCCCCAGCACGGTCGAGGGAAGAGGGTCCTGTTCTCTTTGTGTGTGTTCTCTTTGTGTGTGGCGTTGAGCACCCACGCACTCGCGCGCTCTCTCTCGTGCTCTCTCTCTCTCTCTCACACACACACACACACACACACGCACACACACACACACACACGTTTTCCAGTGCAACTGTGTTTGCAAAGGCAGACTTTACCAGTCAGCCTTTCCAGGGTTGTGGTAAAGACCCAGAGGCCAGCAGTCGCTGTTACATTTGACGCAGAGCGTGCCCGAGACTCTGCTGGGACTGAGGACCGGGAGCGTCACAGGAGGCAGGAGCCGGCTGAGTGCGGGCAGGCCTAGGGGCTGGTGCTCCTGGTCTGTAAGGACCCCGTGTTCTCTACTTACTGAATTCGCGTGATTCGCGTGATCACTTCGGCTGGTGCACGGGAAAGTGCAGGGGCTTGAGGGTGAAGCTGCAGATTTACTGTATCCGGGGCCCCAGCCAGGCCGCCGTGCCTGTGGCCAGCCCCGGGGGGGGGGTATGGGGGTGGAAAGAACGGGCGCGCGGCCTCAGTCCGTGGCATATCCGTGTTTCTCAGAAAGTTGTAGCTGTGCCATTTTCCTTTCATCTACTCTTTGTAGCGGGTCCTATCAGTGTTGTTTATTTATTTTTTTTAATACTTCAAAGCTGTCTGTCACCTGGGTTTCCAAATCCAGGCTAGCATGACTATGTATTTTAGAGAAATACTCAGCTTAGTGTCAACCTAATTTTAAAAACATATGGTGGTTCTTTCCCGCCCTGTGCCCATGTAGTTTGAGAAAGACCAGAAGATGATCGTCTTTTTCTCGAGCCGTGAGCTGGTGGAGTTCCACTACCACCTCTTCCTCCAGACCCTGCCAGGCTGCTAGGGGGCCCCGGCAGCGGGGCAGCCACCATCTGCCTCCGCGCGACTCAAATTCCTGCGGCTGCACGGCGACATGGAGCAGGAGGTGAGCTCCTCGCCCGTCCCCGGGAGCGGGCCCGAGGCTGCCGACCACGAACGTGGCCTCCGGGGTCGGCACTGGCTTCTGCCCCAGACCCCGCCAGGCTCCGAGGGGGTGAGCCCTGGGCGGGCGACCCGCTGGAACCAGAGACAGAGTGTGCCGCCGCGTCGGCGTGGGCAAGGGCGTCTTTTGTTCCCGGGTGTTCTTGCTCCGCGAGCTGCCCTCTTCCACCTGAGAGAGCTCATGGGCCGGCTTGGCCCGCGCCTGCCTTCACCAGCTGTTAAGGCAACAGAGTACCACTAAGTAGCTGGCACCAGGGAGGGGTTTTGCCTTTTTAGTACCCAGTGTGTAATTAGGGCTTGATGTCTTCAAATTAAGAGCATTAATGGAGCTAAATTGTGGATCCCATATGGTACTGCTGAGCGCGACTGCTGTCATTGTCAACAAGATGCAGCGCTTTCGCTCTTAACACCGTGGATGGGAGAGGGGCTTCAGGGTCTCAGTTGTGTCTCGGCTCTGAGTAATACTGCCGGTCGGGACGGAGAGAATAACGTCTCCCCGATCTTGGGTTCTGAGCTGCGCAGCCCTCATTCCGTTCAGGCGGTGGGTGGAGAGCCGAGTGAGGAGCGCACTGGCGTGGAAGGCGGGCGAGCGGGCCCTGCGAGTGGGAGCCATCTTGTCCTAGAGGCAGGTGACCGGGCGCTAGAAGCAGTCAGGGCGAGGGAAGGACAACCAGGAATCAGCGCAAGACCTGACTAGAACCAGCTTTTGAAAAAGCTGCTTGAGAGCTGAAGGAGGTATTAAAGGCATCAGGTCCAGCCCCCTTCTCGTGCTCGCTTTTGTCCTTTTAATAATTAAGGGTATGGAGGCTCAGAAAAGTGAGCGCGCTCAAAGTCACTCAAGGACACAGCATCTTACTCCCCACAGGACTGGATAGAATTTCCTGAATAGTCCAGCCCTTGTGAATTTTACGAACTTCATGGTCCCTGATGCAGTGGACTTTGTAGATTTCATAACTTAATGCCATTTATAGTGTTCGGGTTTTGGTGGGGGTTTTTTTGTTTTTTGTTTTTTTTTTGATAAAGCTTAGTTTCCTCACCCTCGGTCTCCTTCACCAGAGGCCTTCTCCCAGGCGGGCGTGAGGACGTTGGAGGAGCTGGGTGGATCGAGGGATTTGAATTGATCGTGCAAAAGGCTCTATAGTTAAACGATTTCAGTCCGATCGGCTCACCTTCTGAGGGCGCTGGTCCTGTAGGATGCTCGCAGCTGTGTGCTCTGGGCCCGCCGCTTGCACGCTGGTCCTGGCTCTGCCTTTACTTGCCGTGTCACCTCTCTGTGCCCCAGTTAACACGTTGCTAAAATGGAGGTGATAGCAGTACCTACTTCATGGGGTTGGTGTGGCGAGCCCCTCAGTTCTCGCAGATGCCGTGCCAAGCACGGGGCCCGGTACGTGAGTGCTCCGTAAACGTGGGTGCGTCATCACCACTGTGGTCTCTCTTTCCGTTAGAAAAGTGTAGCATGTGTCTCTTCTAGTTAAGTGTTTAGCCTTCCCAGCCCTCTCATGACACGGGTAGAAGGTGGGGAGGAGTGTCTCTCTGTTTCGTGTTAACTGGCCAAGCGTCTCATCCACGCTGAGCATTGCCACACTCACATCTGCCTGGCTGGTCACCCTGGCCGTGGGTCCCCATGACCTTAGTCTGGTCTCCCTGGTAGTTGATGTGACCCTGACCACGTTTATGAGCATGAGAGACAAGTGCTGGGGTTTGTTTTGTTTTGTTTTTTAACATTTTATTTTTAACGTTTATTTTTGAGACAGAGTCAGGGCAGGGCAGAGAGAGAGGGAGACGGCAGCTGGTGCTCGCTCGCTTGCTCTCTCAGAATAGAGATTTTAAAAAAATTTTTATAAAAGATATATAATATTCGGTAGATGACATATGTGGTTTTTATAATTTTAAAATGTTCTTTAAAATTAGTTTTTAAGAAAGTTGCCCTGTAGGAAAGATGGTGGTTCTTTATGCCTCTCGACCATGTGCTTAGAATAAATTCTGAGCTGGGAACCCGGAGTACAGTGACTTGTGGCCTTTGGCCTTGCCCGCTCTTGGTATTGGCTGTCCTGAGGGCCGTGCCCACCCTGGCCCAGCACTGAGATGGCCGCCCTCGAATAGTCTGAGAATCTAGTCCTGTAGGGACGGGTCTGATGAGAAGGTGTGCAGAACTGACGTCTCTTTGTTGGTAAAGCCCCTCCGCCCCTCTGTCTAGAGACAGAGCCCTGGGAAGAAGGCGTTATGGGAACCTGAGCCTGCCGGCTGGGACTGACCTGAGTTGTGAGGCCTGTTTTCCCTTGTTTCTGCAGGAAAGAACGGCAGTGTTTCAGGAATTCTCACGTTCCAAGACCGGCGTCCTTCTCTGCACGGTACATACCGTCGTGTGCCCCACGCGAGGGCCGAGAGCTTCCAGACCGGCGGTTATGGGTTCTCGCCTCCCGACAGTCGGCCCCGCGGCCAGCCCCACGGAGAGCAGAGCCAGCAGGGCCCCCTTGGTGTGGCCGGTCACCTCGCACTTCTGGTTGTCCCCTGGCCGTGCCACAGACACCGGCCGCCACCGTGCAGACGTCTTGCCGATTTGCTCACTAATAGTGGCAGCTGTTGGTCTGAAAACGTGTGAATCTTGGCGATTTCTATCTACCAAAATGTGTAAATTACAGCTATCGGGAGTAATTAGAGCTGAGAAAGTCTTTTCGCAACAGTCGCCCCACTTGCCTCTGCGCGAGCCTTTTTTAAAGGGAAGATAGATGCGCATGGACGGATTTCCTTTGCTCTTGTCTAAAACTGTCATTTGCCCTGCAGTTTTGGGGCCAGGTCATTCGGCCCTGGCCCTCGGCGGTTCCCCCCACCCCACCCTGGTGCAGAACTGACCTTTATGACGGGTCTCAAGCTCTTCGGAGATTGAAAACCCACACCTCCCGTGCCCGCCTCTCTGGGGCTTTACGGCACCACCATGGTTAAAGCCCCTTCTCTCCTTGTGCCCTCCTGGATGGTGTGACTTAATCCGCAGCTCACCTGGGAAGCCCCCGTGTGTGCAGTGGTGATGTTGCACTGCTAACTGGGTGACCCGGTGGGCAGCACCCAGGCAGGACAGAAACTGTGAGCTGTTTGAATACCTGTCTGGGCCTCACTTTTTAACGCGGTTACTTTTGAAGGAACTCTTGCACTGCATTCCGTTTTGAAGGTGACGAGATGTTGTTTTCTTTCTAAATTCAGGGTTTATGGGTGAGTGCAGCTTTGTTTGGAGGCGGCCACCCCGTCACCCGTTTTTCACCGTGTGCCAGTTCGCACACGAGGTGGGGCAGACGGTGGTTCCAGGACCTGGGCGTCGGGATCCGGGCACGGTCACTACTGGCACGCTTGCCTCCGAGTGTGACCAGGCGGCCCTGCCCTTTGTGGCGCCCGCCCGTGAATCAGATGCCGCGTTTGCTCTCACCTGTGTCTAAACGCCAGTGCTGAAGTGAGGACGAGCCCAGATGATCTACCTGGGAAAGAAATTTGTCGGAAGTCCTTTCCGTGTCCAGCAGTACCCTCCGGAAGCTGACCTCTTCTGTCCCCTCGGCCTCCGCTTTCCCCCTTGCTCCTGGCCTCGGCCAGGTAGGCTCCTGCCTCAGTTCCCTGAATGTGTTGGTCTTCCTTGCCTGGCCTTGGGGCCGTTGTACCCGCAGCACCTGCCCTGACTAGCACTAGCCCTACTTGGGTCGCTGCTTCCATTTCAGTTTTTCAGGGAAGTGAACTCCCGGGGCCCTCCCAGTGCACCCCACTTTTCTTTACAGCACCCACCACACCTGGTCTAGGTGTTTCCCCCGCCCCTGCGGCCCCGAGCACAAGCCCCTAGAGGTGGACTGGGTTTGGTGTGCAGTCCCGTGCCGGTGGCCGGCACAGGGCAGGTGTGCCATAGGCACTCGGGGTTTGTGGACTGAATGGGTGGATGTTTGGGGCCCAAGAAACACACTGGTGAGAGACATCAATGTCTGCCTTTTTCTGAAGACTGGGAGAGGCTGAGGTTAGTAGCCTTGCTCGTTGGGAATAAGTGCACTTTCTCAGATCCGTGGGGCACCCGGGGGTGAGCGCTACACGCTGTCTGTGCTGAAACAAGACAGCAGGAGCCTTTGTGTTGGAGTTTGAGTTGAGATAAGAACAAAAGGTTTTCATCTTTGACTCTTAAGATGTCGGGTTTGTCCCTGGTGGAGAATCTTCCAGTCTCCTGGTGTTTCTTACAGACGTGGGTGAGCTCTGGGTCTCAAAGAAAGCTCCAGGTATTTGAAGTTCAGTGTTTTGGTTGGTTTCGGCCTTGGTTTCTTTTGTAGGTTTACGTGCAAGTAAAGATCATTCTCTTTAATGGGTAATTCTCAGTGGGGTCAGAAGCCTATGACGAAGTCTCTTGTTTTGTCTGGCTGCTACCTGCAGTGAGGTCAGCCACCCAGAGAGCGCCACTGACTGGGCCGAGCATGGCCCCCCCACCCCTGTGTCCCCCGCCGCCCAGGTGCCATGTGGGGAGCTGACTCTCTCTTGTGCACAGTCTGATTTCGCTGAAGTTTCTTGGTGTGTGCTTGTCTGCTTGTCAGGGAAACTTCCAGTGTGCTGATCGCCCGGTCTTGTCTTTATTCTGCAGTGAAGATTACTGCGGAGGAGCCGGGTGGGGGCTCATTTCCCACCCTTTGGAAGCCAGGGAGCGAGCACACAGTCCCCGGTGACAGGGGCTCTTCTGCCCTCTCATACTTCCTCCCACCTCTGTGTATCTGTGTGCTCCGGCCTGAAGCTTCTGGTGCGCGGGGGCCGCAGGCACACGGGGCCTGCTGCCGTAGATCACGGCCGGCTCGGGGAGAGGCTGTCACTCGGCGTCCGTCTAAGCAGCCTGTTGCTTGCCAGGCCCTCATGCTCTCCAGGAGCCTCCTTCATGTTAATGGGAGCAGGGGCCACGTCAGGACATGGCAGATGGAGAACTGGCTGCTTTTGATAAAGAGGAATCGTGTTGTGAATTGTTGCGGGGGGAGGCCCCTCCCCCATCGTATCTTTTGCCATTTTGATTTATCATCCCAAGATCTTTTAACGAGCCCAGAAGACTGAATATCTGTATGAAAAGTTGGGAACTGTGTTGTAACCACTCAGAAACTCACAATTATGCTATTTACTGCTTCAGACTCCCACCTCTCAATCCATTTTCCTCCTTGTTTTTTTTTTTTAATTATTAGAAACAGTTCAGGACGTGTGTGTGTGTGTGTGTGTGTGTGTGTGTTTGTGTGTGTTTTCTTTCATCTTAATTATAAATATCTGAAAGCAAGGACCTTTCTAATTTCCTAACAGCCTTTCGGGACCTGGTACCTGGCTTTGTGTACTGTGGGTCATCAACCAATGAGGGAGACCATGGGGACACGAAACGTAGGCAGAAGCGAAAGGGTAGTTGGGGCAGGGGACCCCAGTTTGTGAGAGTGGGGTCCTTACGCATTTAGAATGTAATTTGTGTCCTCCGGAGAAGTAGGTCATGTTAAGGGAGTAGGGATTATAGAAAGGAGCTGGTTGAAAGTTCAAAAGCCCACTTTCCCAAATGGAATTAAGAAGTCAAAGGGATCAGATAAGAGATGTTAGATAATCTACAGAATATTTCCTCCTGCTTGCGGTGCAGAACTCCTCCCCGTAAGCCAGAGGTGGGAAAGGTGGTTTCAGCACCATTGTTAGGTTGATTGGCCAGTAAAGGGAAGTACCCTTGAGCGACGGGGAAATGATATTCCTGAGCTGCCTCCGGTTTTAAGGCCCACACTGGGCTTTTCACTGGGCTTTTCGTCGTACCTGTGGCCCTCCCTGGCCGTCCATGGATAAAGGGAGCATAGTCACCTTCTCCCTGGCGCAGGGAGGCACCCCCAGCCCCGTGTGGTCTGCTGCCTCGTTCTCCGTTGGACTAGATCGTGGTTGTCCGGCACGTGCCTGCCTTCAGAAGACCCCTGAACCTGTGCTGCTTTCCTCCACCTTCCACCGCCCCCCCCCCCCCCCCTTTTTTTTTTTTTTTTTTTTGTCTTGAAGCTCGCCGTTACGTCTGTGCGGTTCTTAATTTCCCTTCCTCCTGGGGAATTTCCACTGTGCCAGGAGGCTGGGAGACAAAGGAGGCCAGGAGATGAGTCCTGGAGAGTCACTTCACCACCGACAATAAATGTCGACTTTCTTGGTTCTCTCTGGGGCGTGCTTTTCAGGTAAAGTTTAGCTTTTCCACTTTATTTCATTCGTGTTAATGGCAAGATCATTTGGAGATGGTCGGCTGTTTACTCGGTTACACTAACTCATGTTGCCAGTTTTTTGGCGGCTCCAGCCAAGCTCGCCCGCCTCTGACAGCTTCTGCACTCTCTCCTTCCTCCTCTGATTACGCAGCCCAATCTGTCACCCAGACAACGGGGGCCTGTACCCCGCTGATGGCTTTCCACACACGGCAATAATGACTTTTGGCAGGCCGGGAAGGCGGCAGAGGCGAATTTGCTGCGTCCCTTGCTCTGAGAGCCGACAGGCCCCCTCTCCCTGTTAGTAAAAGCACTTTGTGAGGTTCTTGGGTAAATAAATGAGTCATTTTAATCCAACTGACAGGCTGGCACCTGAGCAAGCTGCCTTCCATCTGTACTCCTTGGTCTCGGGGAGGCAGCCCATTGTCAGGCCCCGGGCCTTCTCGGCCTCACCGTTGAGTGTCTTTCAGAACTGACTTTAGCAATCCTTTTGCCCTAATTAGCTTAAAGGAATACGGTTGGGCTGGGTCTAAGTTCTAAGAGGGGCAGAGAACCGAGGCCTTGGCTGAGACTTGGGTAGGGCAGTTTCCCGTTGATCTGGTACCGCTGGCTGACGCCGTTCTGGAGGATGACGCAGACCCCGGCTTCTCTGCGGTCGGTCCTCTGCCCGGGTTGGGTGCGTGGGCACAAGGATCACTGCCTAACTGCCACTGTGCCCGGTTCCTACTTCGTCATGGAATGAAATGTGTGGATTTGTTATTCTCAACACACTTGCACAAACACGGTCCCGTTCGATCCCTCAGCAACCTCGTGAGATGAGATCCGTAGGGTGGGTCTTATGGCCATCGGATAGGTGGGTAAACTGAGGGTCGGCGAGCTGCACTGACTTGCCCGGTGGTGTGGCTGCTGCAGTGACGGTGGAGTCTAGCTCTGTCTGTTTCTAGGCCACGTAGGTTGTGCCTTTGTCCCGTTCCCCGTGGTAGCCCAGGCTGAGGATAAGGAGGAGGATGTGCTGGAATAGGCGGGGGGGCGGGGAGGGCCCCCTCCCCAGGACATGTAGTAGTGGGAGACGGGAAGATGGTGTCTCGGCCGGCCCCCCCGAGCAGGAAATAGAACCCTGAACGGTCCCGGGAAGGCTACTGGCGCTCTGCCTCTCCGTTTCGCCGTGTTTGTGCAGTGACTTCCACGAACGTCATCTCCTATTTTAGAGTTTCATCTGTGTTTCTTGGTTGAATTTACTAAACCGGCGAGCATCACATTTTTAACAAAGCCTGTCTGTAAAGCTCAGACAGCCATTGTCTACATGCATCTCCCAGTGCAGAGCACTTAAATAAAATAAATCATTTTTTAACAAGAGCTTAGCAGATTTAAGAACCCGTCAGTTTTTCTAAAGACATCAACTGTGGTTAGTGTAGAAAGCAGTGCTTGCTCCCCTTTAAGATAGAGAACTCTCTAAATTGTGTTCTCAAAGGCATCAGCTCAGGAACATCAGCCTTCAGTTTTCAGGGCAGTGGGAGCTGTCTGCAAACACTTAGTGGGTGGTTGACACACTTTTAGTACATTAACTTCTGCTTAACACCTAATAAATGCAGCCTAGCCACCACTCCAAGGAAAGCGGCAAGCCCAGGTGTGATCAGAGTGAAGGCAGCCAAATCCTGACCGCCCTCCATGGTCCTTGCAGATGGCTCAGATGATGGTGGGACAGGCTCTTCCTTGGCCCCTGCCTCTGACCCTGGGCGACATAGGGAATGGCTGTTCCAGCGTGCTTCTTACAGAAACTCTGCATAGGATTACTGCTTTCCAGAAGAGCCTTACGTATGTAAATCTTTAGTGATACTTAAGGGGAAAGGAAGGCAGACTGTTCTTTACAGAAAAATGGCAACTGTCAAGTGGAAGAAGGGAACGACAGAAGCCATCCTTCTGCAGCCACCGGGGGACAGCGAGGCACCACAAGAAGCATCGACAGATGCCGAAGCCTTTGGGCAAAAGGATTAGGAGACCGTCTTGAAGTTCCCTCCCCGGTTTACCGAGTAGCTACAAAGGAGAGAGGTACCTTCAGGTGGAGAGAGCTGTGTGGTGGATGCCACTTCCTCAGGGGACGGAGCACAGCGCCACCCGTGCAGGACAGAGCGCCCTCGGGTGTCTCCGGGTGTCAGCTGCTGGGAAGTACACACCACCCTTAGGTCTCTCTGCCAGAAAGCTCCACCCGGACCTTCCCTTGAGGACACAGTTAGACAATACAGACTCTGGGAGGTACTTCGGGACTCCTGGCCTTCTTCAAAGTTGAGTTATCAAAAAGCTAAATAAGTAAATATTATGGGCAGGGATATTATTCTAGATTAAGGAAGTCTAGAGAGATGTAATAAAAATAGAAAGCGTGATCTATGAGTCAGTTCCTGGGTTGGGAAAGAAAAACAACTATAAAAGTCAATCTTAGGTGCAGTTGGAGAAATTTGAATACGAAATGATTATCAGGAAGTAAAGTTATTCAATACTAAATTATTTAGGTATGATAACGGTATTGTGATTGTGTAGAGGAATGCCTTTTTACTTAGGTACATACTAAAGTATTTAGGGATAAAATGTCGTGGTATTTGCAACTTTCAGATAGCTTCGAAAAATGTGTGTGTAGAGAGAGAAAGGGAAAGCACATGCGCCAAAGATTAGCAGTTGATGAATCTGGATGAAGGATGTGCGAGTGCTCCTTGGTTTGAATTTTTCTTTCTTTTTAAACAAAAATTTTTTTTAATGTTTTTATTTCTTTTTGAGAGAGACAGCATGAGCAGGGGAGGGTCAGAGAGAGAGGGAGACACCTAATCCGAAGACAGGCTCCAGGCTCTACAGCTGTCAGCACAGAGCCCGACGCGGGACTCGAACCCATGAACCGTGAGATCATGACCTGAGCCGAAGTTGGACGCTCAATTTACTGAGCCACCCAGGTGCCCCTGGTTTGAATTTTTCTAAATAAACATTTCAGTGGGAAATGTTATGCATTTGTTGCTAAAAGAACGACAAAGCAAGGGACACAGGAAAATGCGAAAGGAAACATAAAAATCACTCAAATCCATCTCCCCGAACATAACCACAGTTGGTCGTTCTGCTGAGCCACCTTCCAGGTATGGGCTTCCGGATGGTCTCTCGGTTCATCTCTCTGTTTACCCATCTGCCCACTTAATGCCTTGTTTTTGGCACCCACCTTTTTTTGCCCTTGGATTCTTTTCTGGAAGGAACTAGACTTGGTGCTTTAGAATACACCACCTGTGGGATGTGGCTTCTTGTGCCCTCCTGGTCCGGCCACCGTGCTCTTCCCTCCCCCGGATTTCCTGTAACCTAGGAGCTGGGAGCAGCACACCTGGTCAGTGTTGGGTGTGTTTTTGGCAAGAATACATCATAGGCGATACCCATACTTCTGTTTCTTTTTTTTTTTTTTATGGAGTATGATTTTTTAATGTTTTTTTTATTTCTGAGAGAGAGAGAGACAATGTGATCAGGGGAGGGTCAGAGATAGAGCGAGACACAGAATCCGAAACAGGCTCCAGGCTCTGAGCTGGCTGTCAGCCAGAGCCCGACGTGGGGCTCGAACCCATGAACTTCAAGATCATGACCTGAGCTGAAGTCGGCCGCCCAACCGACTGAGCCACCCAGGCGCCACCCATACTTCTGTTTCTTGACAGCTCATCATCTTTCTAATTATATCAAAACGTTACATTGTCAAAATCGTACAAGTCCATTAAAGGAAGTCCAGCTTCTGCCCCTGTCCGCGGCCCCCGGCCCCTTCCCCTTCCGGTGAACTGTTTTTGTAAGCTTTGGGGTTTTTGTGCTCCATTATTTCTTTTTGAAGTACAAGCAGACATATTTGTACTTCCGTTATCTCACACACACGCCGCCCCACACCCCCGGAGCAGGCCGTGAGACTCTCCACGCCAGCACCTCGCCATCTCCACCCTGTGCCGGCTGTGCCGCACTCTGCCGCGGAGGGCAGGCGCTGCCGTGTTTCAGTCAGCTGGTCTGCTGGACGCGCAGTGGTCCAGGCCCGCTACAGGTACCGCCGAAACAAGTAGCTTTGTGCAGGTGACGTGTCGGATTTTTGCCAGTGTGTCTTGGGGATGGATTTCAGGAAGTGACATTGCATCTGGGCCAAAGGTCAAGTGCCTATGTAATTTTGCTGGATTTTACCACATTTCCTACTCCAGGGCTTTGTACTACTTTGCATTTCTGCCAGCAGCTTACAAGGGCCGTGGCGTCTTTTTGGTGGTGGGACGGTAGGCTACGGCCTTGGGAAAGTAAGGTGGTCTCATGATTCGAGGGCTGCCTCCACCTCTCAGCTGCGTGTCTGTGGACAAGTTACTTAATCTTTCTGAACCTTGGTTTTCTGTCCCTCAAATGGGAGTAATAGTTGTTTTGAAGATCGCTCAGGAGGACGTAGGTGAAAAGCTGCACACAGTCTGGCGTGTGGTAAGCGCTCAGCAGATGACGACTGCGGCGGTTCTTGTCGTGACAGCGGTGCTCGGAGATGAGTGCCCAGTGCAGGCTTCTCCCTAAACACTGAAAGGCACCATTCTTGTCCCCCTGCCAGGATGGCCAGACCCTGGAGAGCAGAGAGCCTTTGCCTTTTGGGTGGCAGCCAGCTGAAAAGAAAAGAAGAAAATACATCTCCTTTGCTTTTACAGTTCTCACGTCCAGTGAAGTCTTTGGCTGGGGTTGTAATTAAGTGTCAGAAGAGGTGGGACGTGACTTGATAGTTACTGCTCAGTGAGGCCGACGAGTCCTCAGTAAATACTCTGCAGCTCGCCTCCACAAGGGTGCACTTGGGGGTGGCCTTCCGGACGTGCCTCAGAGCCGTGGCGCTGCTGGGCGCTGCTCAGGGCTGAGGGGTGGGCATAATAACCCACGAATGCATTCGTCTGTCAGAGAGTGGTTCTGGTAAGATGCAGGAGTAATAAAACATGCTCGAAGTTCGCAGAATTCTCACATGACGTGCTGATGAAGGCTTAAGTTCTTGGGCAGACCTGCAGTTCATGGTCTTCTAGGAGGTGAACGTTTGTGATCGCCTCACCAGCGCGTTCTGTGGAACTTACCCTGCGTTAGAATTTTTCAAAATTCTTTTTAACATTTATTTATTTTTGAGAGAGAGAGACACACGGAGAGGAAGTGGGGGAGCCTGAGGGGGGAGAGGCAGAGAGAGAGGGAGACACAGAATCCAAAGCAGGCTCCAGGCTCTGAGCTGTCAGCACGGAGCCCGACGCAGGACTTGAATTCACAAGCTGTGAGATCACGACCTGAGCAGAAGTCGGATGTTTAACTGACTGAGCCACCCAGCGCTCCCCACCCCCCCCAAGTTAGAATTTTTAACCAAAGATGGACTTCATTGGGTCCCTGAAGTTGTGTGCAGGTTTGTGTGTGTGTGCAAGCATGCATGTGTGCACGCCTGTGCACGCTGGAGGGTGGTGAGCCCTCATAGCTTGCATTAGATTATCAGGTGGAGGGATCCATGGCTCTGAAAAGGCTCTGAAACTCAGTCGTAAGCCATATTCTCTTCTGTTTTAAAGGATGTTGCAGCTCGGGGTTTGGATCTCCCTCAAGTCACGTGGATTGTTCAGGTAATTTTTTACTTAAGGTGTGGGCTCAAGGCAGGAATAAACAATTGTTGAGTAGATGAGTTGGCTTTAAGTGGAATAATTATTATTAGCCTCTTGGGTGTTGCCTCAGTAACCAGGCAGCAACTAGTGATCTGCCCAGTTCTCCCGTATCTTCCCTTACCCCAGCCCACCCGGCCGTTGTGGCGAAACGGCCAGACTGAGCAGTCGCAGGAGGGAGGTGCAGACTCCCCTACTCCCAGACTGACGCATGTCACACACGAACTTTCAGCAATCTGAAAATAGCAGGAATCGCCCGGGCCCTTGGGAGGCCTCATTGTGTCCGGAAGGAGATGCTCAGCCGCCCTGAGAGCCGTGTCCGTGTGCATTGACCTGCAGGGGGCAATTAGGTCCTGACAGCACCTTACACACACCTCTAGCCTTCGATGCTTTGCCAGAGGGCACACGTGTTAGCCCTAGAGTCTAGTGCTTTCAGTTTTGTTTTTTCTTCTTGTTAGTCTGCAGAGTGGTATTTTCAAGCCCTTCCGTTTGGGGGCCTGGGGACACGTGCCCCATTTACGTGAGTCATGGTTTATTCACTTGTTAGTGGAATTGCGTGCCTGTCACTGGCTAGGAAATGTGATCTGCCCGCTGCAGACCACTTTTCGACTAGAGGCCTTGTGTTTTCTTGCCTGTTGGCCACACAGCCAAGTAAAGAAGAAAAGGCAGGGAAACTTTCATGTGGGGGATGGGGCAGACACATAACAATGATTGTTTAGAGGTTTTCTATATTGTAAGGTTGATTATTTTCATATGCCAGACCTCCTCACATATTCTGTCCATTTTGGGTCTCTGATCTTTGATTCGGGTAGCGGCAAAGAGAAAAACAAGAATGCATATGTGGTCAGTTCCTGTTCGTGATGACGAAGTTACTGCCATAGGGAATATGAAGTGCTGTGCATAATGCGCTCTGCTGAGTTACAGTCTGTCCCCCACCGCCCCCCAGGTCAGGACCGCTGTCCCCGGTAGCAGAAGTGAGTCCTGCCGGAGGGGAGCCCACCTCCCGGCTCCCGAGGGCCCAGCAGCAGAGCTGAGCTCTGATCAGGACAGGCAGCCCCTTCCCCTGACCCTGTCCAGTCCTCTGTGGCGTCTGCCGGCCAAGGTCACTCGGGCATCCTACGGAATGCGCCCCCACCTGCCTCCGTGTTCACCTTGCATGGTCACTCGGTGGAAGGATGCAGATAGGAGAGTGAAGAGACCTGTGGAGAAGTAAAATTATAGTGGAGATACGGGGACGGGGAGGCGCTGGCTCATCGGGAACTTGGCCGCTGTTCACGCTTGCGCAGCAGAGCCTCGTTATTTCCAACGAAGGCAGGGCTTTCAGGCTTGAGCGGCTCTCCTTGGGGTTGCATGAGGGTAACCATAGCACCGGGACTTAATTCTTGGGATACCTGGAGGCAGGTGAGGGGTATTGCACTTCCAATTAATGGCAATGCCTTGATCTGTGAATGCCTTCATTTTTGTTGCCCTTTTTAGTACAGCGCTCCGTCTTCGCCTGCCGAATACATCCACCGGATTGGGAGAACCGCCCGGATTGGCTGCCACGGGAGCAGCCTGCTCATCTTGGCTCCTTCGGAGGCAGGATATGTCAGCTCGTTGGCTTCTCACAAAATCAAGTGAGTCAGAAACCTGCACGCAGTTTCGGCTGATCTCACCTAATTAACTTTCTGTCACTTTCTACAGTGGATGGGCCTTGTAAGCTGACGAAGAGCCATTAACCCTTGTGATCTCTAAGTGGGTCCCAGAATAGCCAGTGGCAAACACTGAGCCCTTCACGCCGTCAGCACATGACAGTTTCCGCTGCATTGCCACACGAAGTCACGGAGCGATCTGTTGCACTTGGTTTTCCTTTAAGATCGAGGTCCGTGTTCCCTGTTCTTTTACGCACAGTTGGTGCACACAGTCCTCCCGGCCGGCGTCCTGAGGACCTGCTTCGTTCGGGTTTTATTTTGGCGCAACGTTCGGTGCCTTTAAAGATGATTTGTCTTTGAAACAAAAGGATACTCGTGACTCCTCACACAGCCCCCCACCACCGGGGATTTACGCCCTGGCAGGACATTGGGGGTGGGGGGCAGCTGAGGTGCCCGCGCAGCCTTGTAGCTGCCGTGTCGCCACCTGTCGGGGCCCCCAGCAGACCCAGACCCTGCTCCGGAGAGACGAGCACAGCCAAGGTGGAGAACAGGGTCTGGAGCCGGGGAGACACCTTCTGGGTGGCCTCCAGCGCCGATCACAGGCCGCTGTGGCGTGCGGTTTCCACGCTGGTTTGCTCTCGGGACTTTCCTCTGCTCACACGTGGCGCAGAGATGTGGAGAGCGGCTCGGGAGGCGCGGGGAGAGTCGTGCGCGTGTGCCCGGGAGGGTGGGGCACGGTTCGTGCCGCGCACGGGAGCCCCAATGGCCGCCCCAGCGCTGCTGCTCGGAGCTGGCGCCTCCGGTGCTTTGCCTCGCACGGCCCTGCGCTGCTTGTGAGGCAAGACGGCCACGCTGTCTCATGTACAGCCGGCGGAGTCCTTGCGCTCTGCACTGGCGCTGCGGCTCCCCGACAGGCGGCCTGGGGCCTGGCGTGGGGACCGAGTGCAGGCCAGCCCCTCGGAGAGCCGCCTGGGGCCGTCCCCAGCTGCAGAGCCCTTGCTCCCTCCCCCTTTCCCTCTCTCCCCCGCTTTTCCTCCCTCCCGCTCCTTCCTCTCCCTCACCCCCTCCCTCCCTGCACCCTGGGCAGACCTGGTAGCGCCCCGCAGTCTTGGGCCTGCTCATGGAACATCTGGGGGCTGGGGCGTCCTCAGGAACCGTGCCTTTAGTGCTGGGGAGACAGGAGCCTGGCGGTGCTTTCGAGTGGGCCAGACTGATGCTGGCTTGGGTTTTCCTTTCGTTTAATATCTCTTCCTAAAACAATTCAGCCACTGAAAGAGTGGATTTTATTTGTTTCAGGAAGGCTGCATATTTGATCTTCCTTGTAAGGAGGAATTCTGTTTGTCAGTTGGTCAATCACTTTTCACCAAGAACTTCCTCCTGGGCTGGATTCTGAGTGCCCTGGGGCTTTGTGCCGGCCGGCCCTTCTCCGGAGGCGCTTTCTGGTCCTGGTCCTGGGCTGGCTCGCCAGTGGGCAGCTGTGCCCTGGAAGCGGGGGGGAGGGGGGAGGCGGCGGTTGGATGAAAACCCACGGACGTAACGCCTTCTCCTGTCGTCTCTTACCCGTCTCCACAGGCTGGGGGCCTGTCACGGCGCTGCCACGGTGTTCCGCTAGCACGGGAGCTTGTAGGGCTCTGGAGAGTGTGCTGAGAGCTGTGCCCTGTCGTCCTCGGGAGGGCACGTGGTCCCTGCACCTCGGCGGCCTCTTGCCCCGGGCCGCTTCTCCCCCACCTCCTGTTCTAGAACTCCAAGTCCACGTTGTCTGCTCCTTCCTGACGCAGCTCCCGGGTGTTCTCCCTGCTCGTGCACTTTGACTCCGTAAGCTCAGAAAAGTGAGCGCTGACAGTCCTGAAGTCCGATGACTGTCCAGGCCAGAGTCCCCCGCACAGATGCCCCTGCCTGTGTCTGCTCTCGGGTTTCCTTCATTCATGCGTTCAGGCCGATTGCTCTGAGAGAGTCCAACGTAAGCTAAATTTACAAAGGGAAAGAGGAGCACGTGGGTGGCTCAGCTGGTTGAGCATCTGACTCTCGGTTTGGGCTCAAGGCATGATCTCAGTTCGTGAGACTGAGCCCCCACCCCCATCAGGCTCGGTGCCTGGTTGGGATTCTCTGTCTGCCCCTCCCTCCTCTCTCTCCATCTCCCCCCCCCTCAAAAATGAATAAACAAACATCAAAAAATAAATAAAAGGGGAAAATAGTAGCCATGTGTATTTTAAAGATATAAAAAGGAAAGTCATTCTCTGTGATGGCCTTATCTGGAAAAACTGCCAGCGGCGTTGCTGGGAAATCCAGCATCCTCTGCTCACATCGAGGAGACTGCTCTGAGGTTCCAGTGATTTGGACTTGTATTTGGACTTGCAAGGGAAGTTTGGAAGGATGAAGACCGAAGTACCCCGAGGAAGAGATCTCGGTCTCTTGTGGAGAGAACGTCTACTCGAGGGGGAAAGAGTCCTGGGGGGCCCTGGCCTTGCCCAATTCTGCCCTGACAGTGCACCAGGGAAGCGTCTGTGCCTGACTCTGCTCTGTGGGCCTGATAGAACCAGCCCCCGAGAATGTCAGACCCAAGTTATGATGTGGCAGCCGTGGGTGATGCTTCCAGATTCTGAGGAAGAGATGCATGTTGGGTATCTATGTATAAGCCGTTTTTGACTTAATTTGAAAAATCATACCTGCGAAGAACTAATTACAGAGCGTGCCGTGAAAGCAGCAGAGTTGAACCAGAAGTTACACTGCTAAATATTAAAAAACAAAAACAGAACGAGAAGGAAGACGTGTGCGCGGGTATTGTGTGGGAGAACCTGGGAGCGGGCAGCAGGATGCTGTGATGGCTGATGAATTACAGGGAAGATTCAGGAAGGCAGGCTGAGGCGCCCGGCAGCAAGGGCCATCACAGCAGTTGCTGCCTGCCTTCAGATGCCGATGGCTGCGGACGTCGCCCTGACAGTGTGATTTAGCAGCCAGGGCAGGAGGTGGGCGCCCTGGGCCGCTGCCACCTCAGCCTGAAAGCAGGACTTCGTTTCTGCTCCTTTGGATGACTCCCTTGTACTTGCCAGTCTCTTAGCTGATTTCCACTTCCCTTTTAAACGAGTTTCTAATGAAAGTCGTCACTGGCTTATCAAAATGTAAATTGCAAACCGTGTATTTCTTAGATCAGGCGTAAGACAGGTCCCTGGATTTATTTCTCTGTCTTTTCATAGGGGTAAGGGGTAGGGAGCAGTTCACATCTGCCGATAGAACCATAAACCAGCAGAGTAGATTTGCTTTGTTCCTCAGAAGCTACCTGGTTTCTTAGAACAGGAGGGAGGCCCTTTTAAACTGTAAATCACTCCAGTCCGCTCTCCGCTGCCGTTCACGTGGCGATGCCTGGCCCCCAGCGCCGTCACAGGACACACCCACGGCAGAGGGGTGCCCTGGCTGGAGGGTCCGCCCTGACACGCCTTCTGGTAAACACGCCTCTCTACGGTGGCCTTCGTTCTTTGTATCCCTGACTGCGAATGGCCGCCTTCTTGCTCTTTCTCCCTGCTTCAGGGCCTCACCCCAGGCCCTTCTGTTCCTTTTCCTTTCCTCCTCGAGGAAACAAGTGGTGCGCAGAGGCAGGGCCGTCAAACAAAGAAGCAGTGAGGACTGTGCTGTGCATTCACCTTCAGACTGCGGCGTCAACAAGAGGCAAATTCAGTGGCCACAGCAGTCCTCTCTCATATGAAAAATACATTTTCCATGAAATAGCATTTCCCCCCCAAACTCATACCTTCGAGATACACGCTCTGCCTCCCTGGGCTGGCTCATGCCGTTAGAGGATTTCACGGCTCCGTGGGGCTGTGAGCTGGCAGCACCAGAGAGAGTGGAGGGGCGGGGGCTGGGGGTGTTCAGGGAAGCGGTGACACATTTCAGGTGAATCGCTGTCAGAGACGTGACATTTTCATTCATAGCTTTGTCAGAGTAACCTTTGGGGGAAAGGGGGAGAATTGTCTTCTCCCACCTGAGAGGTTGCCATTCATGTTTTAATTTGCTGTTACATTTAAAAAAAAAAAAAAAAGAAACAACATACAAGGAAGTCATTTATCTTTTTATGATCTGTTTTTCTCCCCAGAACTCCTACTTCCCATTTTTTTTTTCCCTCCCTGGGAAATAGGTTTTCAGCGGCTCCCGTTTCTTCCTTAGGCTGTATAATACTTGATTGTGCGTGCGCGTTTGAACGCTGTGGCCCGCAGACCGGCTGAAGCGGAAACTTTCCCACTGGACCACGGGGCAGGGTTGGGCCTCTTGTGGCTTAGGGTGGCTTCCGTTCACCAGCGAGGCCCAAGATCTGATCTCAGCTGTTTGCACATAGATCTGCACCCATCAGAGGCCCTCTGTTCCTTACCCTTTTGTAATTAAGACGCAGGAGGGTAGGCATCCTTCTGGGTAAATGAGAAGAGAGTTCTGGGGCCGTGGTCACTTGTTAGCCTTCCCTGAGGAGTTGACCCCAACACTTAAGGACCTTTAGCGACGTGCCCCTCCCCCACCCCTGCCTGGCCTTTTTTTTTTTTTTAATATAAAACTCAAGGGACTCTCTGCATTGTTTTTTTATTTTCTCATCTGGTCAAGTCAAGGTAGTATGTTAATCAGCAGACTTGCTTTTTAGAATTTGAGATTTATGAAAAAATAATGGTGGGATGCCCATAAAGGAAATTTTAAACGTAACTTATTTGAAAGTCCCCGGGGAGGAGTGTTGGGAATATGACTCTTCTGTCCCTGTCAAGTCACAGCGGTCGCTGCCTTCCAAACTCCTGAAGATTTAGGAAACTTACTTCCTTTCCGTCAAGGTGTAGCTTCTATTTTACATCTACGTAGCTTGAGAATAGGCCAGTTTTATGCATCAAGATTCCGGAGGTTGCCAAAAGATTGGAAAGCTTACCTTAATGTGCCCTTCCTTTTACAGCGTTTCCGAGATAAAGATGGAAGATATTTTGTCTGTCCTGACAAGGGATGATTGTTTTAAAGGGAGCCGGTGGAGAAGCCAGGTGAGTTTTATTATTCATTGTACTTGCTGCGAACACACATGACTCCTTTCTTGATTGGGGGGTTGTGGGGGGTCTTGTGTAGGGGGCAGTCAGTTCCTCTGACGAGCAAATGTGAACCTAAGGGGCCATGGGGCCACACCTTGATTGTGTTTTCCCTCCCTGCTTCTGGATGTGTTTTTTGGTCTCCCCCTGTTAATGGACGACCGTCCATTCTGGAAGCTTGCGGGGCAGCAGCAGGCTTCCCAGCAAGGAGGGCTCGTTCTGGCCCACGGTGAGTTTGGAGGCAGTGTTACCTGCTCAGCCCTGGTGGCCCAGTCCAGACTCTCAGCAAGGTCAGCTGACTGGCGCATCCGCCCAAGACCGCGTGGAAGAACCTGGTATCTCTGTCTCCATGCAGACAGCGTGCATGCCGTGCACAGAGGACGAGTAAAGTGAGATCAGTAAGAACGATTTGTGTTCTCCATGTAGTTCCTTCCACATGGGGACCCAGAGCGGTTGCAGACAGCCCTGAGCACCCATTCCGGCAGGGGCTTTCCCCCTGTGCGGTGACTGTTCCCCACTCCCACTCCAGTCCTGTACCCCCATGTCACAGGTCCGTGTGTGTCATGTTGCTGTGTGTAATTTTGTCTATGAAATATTAATCATTTGAATATTTTACGTTTTTTTAAAGCCTGAGAATAGACCGAAAAGTCAGCACCAAGTAGATCAGGCTTAATTAGGAGTTTCTTTTTTGCGTCACGAAGTGTCTTTATTTGGATTGATACTGTCCCTGAGGCTGAGACCCGATTTGACTGGCCCTGACTTAAGTCCTCTTGTTCTAGAAGGAACCTAAGGAAATGTGTCTAAGAATAGGCAGGGAAACTGTAATCACGTGTTCCTGTGCCCAGGACTCCTGTGCTCTCTGTGTGCCTGGCCCCGTATAACCCCCAGCAGCCCCCCCAAGTTGGTGCTCTCGTCCCTCTTCCTAGATGTGGAAACTGAGGCCTGACAAAACCATGGCCGTGGAACCGGCTTGCTGTTCAGTTAGGTGATATCCGCCATCGTCACAGAGGTGACACGTGGCCAGCAAACGGTGCCACGACAAACACCCCTGTAAACCGAGGAAAGAGTCGATCAAGTTTTAAGCGATGTTTCCTTAGAAAACTATCCAGGCTGCACTGGACTCTGGAACCTCCCATGTTAGTAGCTTGTTGTCAAGGGAACAGCCAGTCACCAGACAGACACTCATTGGTCCTGGCACACGTCTGTTCTCCTGAAGCCACTGCGGAGTCTAGGCAGGGTTTTTCCATGTTCCCTCAGACACTTCATTCCAGCCCCAGGACCACGGGCAGTGTAGCAGAGAGATTAAGGGCGTGGCCTCAGGGGCCGATTCCTAATCTCATTTCCCAGCTCTGTGGCGTTGGGCAAGACTGGACCTTCCTAAGCCTTGTTTTCTTCATATGTAAAGTTGAGATTGTGTTAGTATCCTTGTTAAGGAGATTGGAAGACTGAGTAAGAAATAACCTGAAAACCCCAACACAGGTACTGAAGGGCGTCCATCATCATCATCAGTTAGTAGCAGATGTGGGATTTCAAGTTCAGGCTCTGTGACACAAAGCCCAGTGCTGTTTGCTGTATCACAGTCGAGTGTTAGCATCTGCCTGCTGCCCAGAAATAAGAGCAAGCGGTCAAGTTACAAAATAAGATAGTAAACGTTTGGTCTAATCTCCTCTTACACTGTTTCTGGGACTGTGTTGTTGGTGTTTATCCCTGAACCGAGCACACCTCGTTCAGTCCAGGACGCTGATGGCCATGTGGGTCAGTGGACGGAGTCTCTTCTGCGGATTCCCCCCGGGAAGGGAGCCAAGCAGCTGCGGTGCCCTCTGCTCATCCCCGAGCAAGTCACGGCCATTTCCCACCCCCCGCCCTCTGGTGGCCCTGTGCCTCAGCGCCTCTCCGGAAGCCCTTGCCTTGGCATGAGGCCAGCCTTGAAGCCTTGCTCAAGGGGAGGCTCGGGGACACTGCGTGTAGGAGCCAGGGCCCCACGGCAGGCAGACTTGGGTTCCAGACCCTGCTTCACGGCTGGTGGTTCTGCACCCCCGGGCAGGTTCTCTTCTCCCTGGCCTCGGTTTTCCCGTCTGTGAACGGAGGACAAGAGCACCTTTACTGTAGGTTTGCTGTGAAGTTGACCCGAAACGAGGCAGAGCGCGCTCTGTACGCTTCGGGGCCAGGTCAGTACTTCCTAGCCCCGAGCTCCTGCCTTGACGGAGGGCAGCAAACAAATGTCTTATATTTTTAAGGAGGGGTGAACTTTGCTTTTAAATAGAAAAAGCACTCGACAAGGTTGGGCTTTCACGGACCCAAAATAACAGGTTAGCTTAGAAAACTAATCGTCCTACAGGCCTCAGGTGCCGCGTCGAGGAAGACCTGGCCTGTTTAACCAAATTTAACTTCAATTCGAAGGCCAAAGGGAAACTCAGTGAAATTGCCTTTATTACTAATTATCACACATCTCTACAACCTGAAAGTGTTTTATGTGTATGATCCGCATGAGTAGTAAAAAGAATAAAGTAGATGATGGATACAGCTTTCAGTTCGGTTTCTCATAAGAAACATGGTGTGTTTTAGTTGCTGTTCTCCATGTGAGCCGTTGTGTCTTGCACATAAACCAGTGCTGGACAGGAAAGTGTGAGCTCAGTAACGAGGCCTTTACATACACAGCCCGACACCTCATTATAAGGCCTCCCTTCTCCTCTCCTCACTCAGTTGAAGTCCATTGTAAATGTCCCTTTGGCACATACATTTTTGGGCTTCTGTGAACAGAAAGAAAGTGAGTGAAGCATCTGTAAAATGTATATTTCATATTTAGGTATATAAAATATATATAGCTACGTCTAGGTGTGCGAATGTTCACCCACCTACAAAGAGAATAAATTTGATCTTTCAACTTTACTGGGAAGCACTCAGAAGGTTCTAGGGAAGCATGAGGGTGAAACTTAGCTTGGCAATAAAGTGATTAAAACAAAATCCTTCCGTTTAGTTTAAAAATACTTTAGAAGTTAGCAGCTTGATCAAGATGTGCTTCCAAAAAAAAAAAAGAAAGAAAGAAAAGGCACCTTCCCCTACCACTGCTACCACCTGAAACTTTTTACAACAACAAAAATCCAGCCCAAGTATCTTCAACTCCTATGTTCCCTCTTGATAGACATGAAATTTTCATCTTCAAAATACGCGCACACCCAAACGTGCTTTTTCTACGAGTTCTTTTGCCCTATGAAGTATGCCTGTAAACGGGCCTTAGCAAGAAGCCGGTGCACGGTCAGGTATTAAAACGAGATCAGCAACCCCCTGGCTCAGTCCTTGTGCTCAGTCCTTGGGACGGGCTGTTCTCTCCAGGATCAGGAGGACTTTACGGACTAAGGAATCCTGAGTGTGGACCATCGGAGCTGTGTTTTCCTAAACTAGCCCCAGCCTGCTAGTTCAGGTTAGCTTCATTAACCAGCAGCGGGCCTGTGTGTCTTTGAGGGGTGGGTGCGCCTCCGGGGTCTGACCTGCTCTCATTACGGGAGCATTTTACCTGTCGGGGTTGAGATGGTGCAGCGCGCACGACTCTGCCCCTGTCTTCAGTTTAAATTTAGACTGTCCTCCCCGGAAGACAACTGAAAAATCCTTCATTCTCAAGAGGGGTAATTTTAAAATAAAGTATTTCTGGAAGTGGGGGGTAGGGAGAGGAAGACACGCTTTTTCCTGAGTATGTTATGTTTTCTGCCATTAACTTTTCCTTCTATTTCACTAAAACTGACCTCTTCACTTCAAACGTGTGAACCTAGTTTTATTGCCTTTTTTCTACCTATTTCACTTGTACACACATTATATATGTGTGTATATGTATTTTTTTTTTTTTTTTTTGGTTGGGAAGAAAAGATGCCTCATTTTGAAACCTAAAGGGGGAATAAGAAAAGCCCTTTGTAATATATTGCCATATTATCACTAAATCCCCTGACAGTTGTGACACAGAAGCAAGTCACCTGTCACTTAAGCTTGAGGTCTCTTTAATTTTCTCCTGGAATTCGCACCAGGCTGTCTTTAATTTGAGGCCTTTATTGGAATTCTGAAACCTCTCTGCCTCCCTGGCTCTCAGATCTATTCTGAGAGCTGTTACAGAGTGTATACAATAACCAACAGAGAGATCGGAGCGGGCTGGAGCTCTGTTTATCTAACACTCTAGAGGGATTTTTGTGCTTATTCGGGCCTGGCTGCCCGGCTTTCAATATCGCTTTGACAACCATTCTGCCCTTCTCATTAATTTTAAACAGTTAAAACACAGGAAAAAGAGGAAAAAGTTTTCATTATTAAAGTGCTTTACTTTTTAATAACAGAGGATTCTGTCCGCCAGGGGAAAGGGCATCCTCGCTAATTTCACATTCATATTAAAAAAAACACACACACACAAGGAAGGTGACAGTTGCGTTGCTGAGGTGGCTTAACGAAAGGAGGGCAGCAAAAGAAAAAAAAAAGTTTGCATTTCACATCAGTTAAGAGGGTAAAAAAAAAAAAATCCTTGTTAATGACAATAGCAAATGTCCACTTTCATAACACAGCTCCTGAGTGACTTTTCTCTTGACATTTGAGTGGATAAAACCCCTTAGGGGGACCATGTACTGTGAAATCAGCTAGACTGTCATCAACCAAACAGGTAGCAGGAATGATTTGACTAAGCTAAAAACATTTTCAGGTTGTTAAGTCTCTATTAATACAGAGAGGGACACGGACCCAGAGAATGAGGCTTTTTCTCCTCTCCCCTTTGTTCTTCCTCTGGCAGCTGTAAAAGCAAAAGGGACTCTGGAGCCCCAGTTAGGCACGGTCAGCCTGTGGCCAGCCAGATGCAGGCATGGGCCCCTGTCCTCCGCGGGGGTGAAGGGGGATACAGCCTGGGGTGCACACTCCTGGTGACCCGTGCCCTCAGTGGGTGGTGGTGGCTGTCAAGGCCTTGTAGCATCACTGGGAGAGTCCACGTCTTTGGGGAGACTTACTAGCCAAATTGCGTTGGAGAATCTTTGTTCTTTGGGATCTCAGTTTCACATTCAGTAGAAAGCATGTTTAAGACATAGGAGATGTGGGAGGGGGGGGTGGCCGGGAGCGCCCAGCTGGCTCAGTCAGTGGAACGTGCGACTCTTGATCTCGAGGTCATGAGTTCAAGCCCCATACTGGAGGTAGAGCTTACTTTAAAAAGAAAAAAAAAATACTGGAAACAAAAAACACTCCGTTTTAGGGGGGTATAAAGAAAGGAAATCTTTTCTCTGGGATTGTTGAAGTACGAAAAGGATATAATTCTCTATTTTATGGACATTTTCCATCCGTAGAACTGGAGTGCGTACAGATGTCGCTCCTGACACCAAGATGGCTCGCTGCAGAGACTGTGGTGTGAGGGGACGGCCCGCTCTTCGATGGGTCCCTGGCAGCCAGCGCAGTGGTCCCAGGCTGAAGGAATGGATCTGAAACACAAGTAGGGGCCTCCCTATGAATGAGGGAATGTGCTCTGATGTTCTTGCAAGGATAGGCTAAATTTTAGGCAGGCCCCTGCGAGGTGCTCCTAAGAGTCTGCCCCATTGTCCCCCTGAGGAGTGAGAGGGAGGAGGGGGATTTAAGGCCCTCTGTAAAACAAGTCCTGTGACACCTGCCTGTGTCCCGTGACATTTTCAATGCCCGAGTTGGACTCGGAAAATTCCAGAGGGTCTCTGGTGGGCTTTCGTTTTGAACGTGAGTGACAAGAGGCCAGGAGGACTAGTCAGTAAACAAGTAAATAAGTAAATAGACCCGATCTGTTCCCCCACAAAGCTGGCTTCATCTTTGCTTGACTTTAGCATCTTTATAGCTCCCGTTTTTCCTCTAGTAATATTGGAAGGATTACCCTTGGTGGCCCCTCGGTGGTTACCGAGTGATTTTACTGTTATTAAATCTATTATAAAGTGCTTCATTATTCCTGGCTCTGACTCTTTCTCTCCTTTCATCCTTCTGGCGCCCGCCCAGAAATCCCGTGCCGCCGGCCCCCAGGAAATCCGACAGCGAGCCACGGTCTTGCAGACGGTGTTTGAAGATTACGTGCACTCCAGTGAGAGGAGGGTCTCCTGGGCAAAGAAAGGTCGGTGGACTCCACAGGTGCTTGTGGGTGGAAAGCCCTCAGGACTCCATCCCCGCCTCCACCCCCACCCCCCCAGGGGCTGAGAGGCCGGCCGGTGGGGGGGGATGTCTCTGCTTACCAGCGGAAGCCTTCATTCTCCCTCATTCTGCAGGGTCTGGATGCAGGCGTGCAAGGCTTTAAAGTGATATTAAACGTTAATTTCATCCTTCCCCATGTTTTGCACAAATGAGGCTTTATCATGGCTTATGTAGGACTAGAACTTTGACCCAGTGGATCTCAGGGATCCGTTCTTCTCTTTCTTTGAAAACTGAGTAGGAGAGATGTGGTGACAGCGTCAGCGGGGAGTGTTGTAGAGATGGAAATTAGGGATGAAGGTAAAGACTGGAGGCATCAGACCAGAGCAGTCTCTGTTCGGAAGTACAAAGGAAAGTAAGAAAGAACAGTGCTAAGGAAGGCCGTAGACCTTGAACCCAATTCCTAGGAAATTTACAAAAGACTCAGGTATTTATTTAGTATTCAGGCCCCTTAGAGGAGAAGGTGGCACCTTGTAGGAGAAGTTGGCACCTGGGATCACGAGGCATTAGCAGAGACACAATAGTTCACTGGAGAACTGAGAGAGCGCGGGGGAAGGGGCTTAGAACCGCTGGATGTTTCCTACGGCAGAAGTCATGTGTCGTGGCTGGTGATGGTCTTGTGCCTGCACCCGTGCTTGCGCACGTGTGTGTGTGAGAGAGAGAGAGAGAGAGAGAGAAAATGAGATGCAGTCCATGTTGGGAGCCCCTCACTTCTTTTTGATAGTTACCTGCTATTTTGAGGAGGATGCCAGGCTGGCTTACCAGTGTGTAAGCAGTATAGCATCTTTTTCCTTTTATGAATTGAAATTTTTTTTATTTAAAAAATTTTTAATGTTTATTTGTTTTGGGGAGAGAGAAAAAGCATGAGGGGGGGAGAAGAGAGAAAGAGAGAGAGAGGGAGACACAGAATCCAAAGCAGGCTCCAGGCGCTGAGCTGTCAGCAGAGAACCCAGTGTGGGGCTCGAACTCATGAATGAGATCATGACCTGAGCTGATCACTTATTTAACAAATACATATTGAATTGGGCACCATCGTAGGTGCTTGAGTTACATCAGGTTAGCAATCCAAGCAGATGGAAAACTTCTAACATTCGGGGCGGGGGGCGGGGGGAGGTGGTGTAGCAGACAATGAGCATAGTTAAAATAGCCTTAAAAGGTGTTAAGAACTAAGGGAAAAGCAAAGGTGAGGGAGGGGGAGGGGTGACTGGGCAGAGTGCATTTTACACGGAGGGTCAGCATGAGCCCTGCTGTGAAGGCCACACGGGCAAATTGAGGGTCACAAGCTGCCGTGGCAGAAAGGGCATGCCAGGCCCAGAGAGGGCTCCGGGGTTCAGCGTGGCCACAAGAGGAGAGGGCCGGCGCAGCAGAGGTACGCTTGGAAGCCGTCAAGGACTTGGGGTACCCCGAGGGCGGTGGGAGCCATGCAGGACTTGGAGCAGAGGTGGCGTGCCCTGCAGAGGCTGGGAAAGATGGCCTGTGTGAGAACAGAGCCTGGGGGGCAAGGGTGAATGCTGGGGCCGGGTCACGGGCGGTTGTGGTCTTCAGGAAATAGATGACCAGAGTGGGTTAGTCAGCAAGTGTTTTTGAGTGCCTGCTGTATACCTTGGCACATCACGAGAGCTGCCCTTGGTTGTTGCCATAACACCGGGCCAAATGGGAACCGCCAGGGAGAAAAGCCGAAGCCCCAGCGATTGCCCCTCACCACTGCTCCGTGGTCAGCGTGTGGCCGGCAGGCCCGGTTGCTGACAGTGGCCCATCTGAGCATTTCCCTAAAGTGAATTCAGCAGTTCCTGGGGGTTTTCCTGAGAACCCGCCTTCAGGGAGGTTTTGGCACGTGTCTCCCGAGAGGAACAGACGGTGTGTCACAGGGTAGCTGGAGACCGGTGGCTTGTCGACAGCACCTCCGGGTATCGCGCCGTGGAATTTCCGGCTTCCTGGTGCAGTGGCGGGGGACAGAAACAGAGCCTTGCTGCCCTCTTCATCTTCGGCGTTGATGTCAGAAGTGTTGGAGGCATTCTAGTGAGATGACAGCCATCTCAGGCCATCTGGGTCACCAAAGTAAGGCTGTGGTGAGGAGTCCTTGGGGTGTGGGCTTGCGAGTTCATTGCCGCTGCAGCAGAAGTTGTGAATGCCAAGAAACCAGCAGTTACTGGTCTTCTGACTTTTTTTTCCTAGTATCATTCTTATTTACTTTTAATTTATGTTTATTTTAGAGACAGAACGTGCATGTGGGGGAGAGGGGCAGACAGACAGACAGACAGAGAACCCCAAGCAAGCTCCACACTCAGCATGGAGCCCGATGCAGGCCTCGATCCCATTACCCTGGGATCATGACCTGGGCTGAAATCAAGAGTCGGACACTCGACCAACTGAGCCCCCAGGTGCCTGCCCTACTTGCCTTCTTTTTAAAGGATGTCTGAATGGGGCCCCTCCGCAGTGTTTAAGTGCCAAGAAGGAAATAAACCTGCCTTTCTCTTCTCTGCTGATTGGTTGCCATGTCAGATTGGTGGTGGTCTGGGAGGAAACTGCCTGTGCTAGATCTTGGTCTCGCCCCTCTATGCTCTGCCAGCACTTAGCCTGGGGAGTTCCGTAGGTCGGGGTGGGGGGGGCGTGCATGCACTCGCTAGTGCAGAGGTGTTCGGTTCACAACATGGGGACAGCGACTGCACCCCAGAAGTCGAAACTGTCTTCTGCATTTCAATCTGCATATGCAAATTCCTCACTGCTGACTTGCCTCCCTTTTATTTAGAACCCACCTCATGAATAATTAACAAAGCAGCTGGTTTTTGCCTTTATGGCAGAAAAGTAGTTGGAAACTGGGCCAAGTATGCATTTGCCTTGCTGTTGCATTCTCTGACCCAGTGATTGTTAATAACCAGCATTTAACTGTTGTAAGTTGCCAGAAACAGTCGCCCCTTTTTACCTTCATTTCTTGTTTTTGAGTTTATTTATTTTGAGACAGAGCACATGCACAGAAGGGGCGACAGAGAAAGGGAGAGAGAGAATCCCAAGCAGGCTCCACCAACGCAGAGCCTGACATGGGACTTGAACCCACAAACCGTGAGATCACGACTTGAGCCGAAACCAAGAGCCAGATGCTTAACCGACTGAGCTACCCAGGCACCCCTTTCCCCTCATTTCTTGCCTCTCTTAGCTAGGGATCCACGTGGTTAAAAACTGTGGGAACATAAGTTTGAACTTTAGACTCCTGAACAAAAGTTTTGGAAACTGGCGTCCTGTCCATACGGATGACAGCTTTCCTGTGGCGAGGCCCCTCCCGCCGCAGGCCTCCCTGAAGAAGCAGGGGCGACATGTGGAGCAGCCATGCCTGAATTGGAGGCGCTGTTTCTCGAAGTCAAGAAAACCCAGACCGCCTATGGCAGATGAGCCCTGCCCTCAGCGCAATCTGAGGTAGGCAGGTACTCAGCCGAGTTTGTCCTCTCGGTGTGTCCGCTAGAGAGGTGCGCGTGCCTTTACTCCATACAGACGTCTGTTCTTCTGGGGTAGGGCCCAGGTTCCCTCCCAGGCTAGAGCCTCGCTCTTTCCTACCGCCTCGATCCTAACTACCATCCGTAAGATACTACTATTCGTGATCAGGCGTCCGAGAATAAATCTGACTTTATGAACAAGGATGAGATGTCCATGTGGGGTATTTTAAAATAGATTTCTTTTAACACATCTCCCTCACGGCTCTGAGCTAGGAGCCCACGACCGCAGAGCGCATGCTCCAAGTGGCTGAGGCTTCCTCCGCCAGCTCGGAGAACTGCCTGCTTTCTCTGCTCATGGGGCCCCACGGCCCCTACTCCCGCCACCTGTTCTTGACACTGCCCCTCGGAAGGGTCTGCAAACAGCTTCTCTGCTCCTGAAATTCCTGCTTCTCTGAATCTTCCAAACGTGGGAGTCCATTCAAGGATGTGAGGACAGCCACCTATCGCCATCCCCCATGAGACAGGAGCCTTAAGGACAGGAAGGGTTAGTAAAACTACGCAGTGTGAAATGCTGCCTGAGCACTTGTGGAAAGAGAAGAGACGTCTGCCATTTCTGGGCAAACTCAATAGCTGGGCGTCTACGTCCCCGGGGACAGAGGCTGTCCTTCCTCGGCTCTGAGGATTGGTGCGGGAGTGGGAGGGCGGTGTGCATGAGGAGGCCCTGGCTGGCGTTCGGGGGACTGAGATCGTACAAGCACAGACTCTGGCTTGGCCTGACTTGGCATGGCTGCAGTCCACTCTTTTAGAGGAGAGTCGGTGTGGAGGGTCCGGAAGGGAAGGGGCGTAGAGAAGAGGCTTGCGTCCCCCGGGTGGTGGCCGAGCGTCTTTCCTGAGACCGGAGTACGCAGCTCCGTGTCTGAAGCCTGGTGTCAGAACCTCCCAACAGCACAGACCGTTTGAAGTGTTGAAGATTTCCCTCGGAAAAGCCGGTCCCCAGTTATTAAAAAAGAGAAGTGAGCACAGATTTCAGAGAGGGGTGCAGATGAGTTGCCTTGGTTATTATTTCTCATCGATTGGGAAAAGGAGTTCACTTTACTCAGTAAATAGAGCTTTGATGGATTCCCAGGATCCTTCCAGGAGCTGATCTGCTAAAATGACACTTTTTATTACTGTTCATAAACGCCAACCTCCAGGTGCTGCTGGGACATCACGTCTAAGCTGTGGGCAAACTTGCCACTCCAGTGGCTCAGTCAGCGAGGGCGAGAGAGGCTGGTATTTAGCGCCTGCGCTCTGTTGTGAACGCGCGGTGCCGGACTCTGGCTTGGCCAGTGGAAGGGCCGGGCTTGGGGTCCTTCAGAGCCATCCCCTCCTGCCCTGTTGGAGTGAGGAGAGGCAGCACTTGATTTTCAGCGGACTTGCAATATATTTGAGGGGAGCTGGATGTAGGAACATCTTTCTTTTCTCAAAGGAATGCCAAGTAAAGGCGTAGCCAGAGCTCCACGCCTGGGAACCCCATCTGCCTTTTTTCCGGCCAGCGCTGGGCTCTAGAACAGGGGCCTCTTTCTTAACCTGACACAAATAGGGCTGAAACGTTCACGATGGAGTGTCTGACGGACATCTCCAAACTGTCGGCAGGCCTCGGGATGAACTGGTCTGTGGCCTGTTTAGAAACTTAATAACTGCTTTTCTCCCTTTAAAAATGTTTTTGTTTCCTTTTTTTTTTTTTTTAAGTTTATTTATTTATTTTGAGAGAGAAAGTGTGCATGTGTACAAGGGAGAGGCAGAGAGAGAGGGAGAGAGAGAATCCCAAGCAGGCTCTGTGCTGTCAGCGCAGAGCCCGACACAGGGCTCAAACTCAGAACTGTGAGATCAGGACCTGAGCCGAAACCAAGAGTCAGATGCTCAATGGACTGAGCCCCCAGGCCACGCATTTCCTTCTTTATGCATTTTTCAATGTGGTTAGCCCTGTAGCAGTCAGTATTGGGTCCTTTGGAATGAATTTTGTTTTAAAAGCCCAGGAGTACAGGAAGGAGTGAGAGCCACCCCTGTGGATGGGGGCCCTGGAGGCAGGGCTTGTGGTGTGAGCATTTATAGCAGGAGTAACAGATCCGTGACGGGAGGCACAATAGAACCTTTGGACTAACATTTGCGTGGACTAGCTGTTGAAGAAATACATGAAATTAAGTTAGGAAAGTTTTTGCCAAACATCAAGGTCTGGGGGTTTCATTTTTCGTGAGACTATACCACATTGATCATGTCTTAGTTTCTTCACTCACTGTGTCTTCCTTCATTTCTACAACAAACGCTGACCAGCTGCCCCTGTGCAAGGTCCCAAGACTGTCCTGAGCAGAAGGGGCCCCTGCCCTGTAGCGTTCTTATGTGCTACCCAGTGAAATCTCAAGTTCTGTTGGGTTTATTCAAGTAATACTTGTGTCCTGTGGATTTTTCTGAAGAATTAGGAAGAAAATACACCAGGATACGTTGAGGTGGTTTGTTACGTTGTACTGCCCTGCTGTGGGTCTTGGGTTGCCTGGCAAGGTACGGGGCACAGGAGGGCTGTGAGGCCAGGGCACGTGGGGCACTCCGAGACCCTGTCCTGACGGCCTCATTCACCCTCCTTTTCCTCCCAGCTCTGCAGTCCTTCATTCGAGCCTATGCCACCTACCCCCGGGAGCTGAAGCACATCTTCCACGTCCGTGCCCTGCACCTCGGTCATGTGGCTAAGAGCTTCGGGCTAAGAGATGCCCCCCAAAACCTTAGTGTCTCAGCCATAAAGAGAAGAAAATCACACCTGAACAGGTGAGAGGAGTTGAACTTGCCCTGGGACATTCGGCTGGAGGTGCGGTGGGTGTGGAGAGCTCTGTGCACACGGTGGGGGAGGTGAGGAGGTGGGGGGGCTGCTGTGTGATCGGTATATACTCTTCCATCTTTGGGATTTTGTGGCAAATCATCACCAGTGCCTGCCTGCCTGCAGTATAATAAGTGCTTGGAACGAGAGGAAAAATACTTAATCTGAATGTTTTTAAGGCACCTGCAGAAATGCAATGGGGTCTCCTGTCGGGTCCAGACGGTGGTGGGATTATTGGGGCAGCAAGACAAACCTGTTGGGGTCGCCCCCACTGCCCACTGGCAGAGTGACTTGGGGCCTCGCTGCAGTCGGAGCTTCACATGTGCTGTGGTTCATCCTGACCAGCCTCCTGGGACTTGTGCGAAAACTTCTGGTGTGTTCTTTGAAATCAGCCTGGTCCTGTCCAGCCGAGGGGGGAGGGGGGAGGGGGGAGGGGCCGGGTGGGGACTCCCTGCACCAGTCACTCTCCTTGGTGCTGACGTGTGCATCTGGTGCCGAGCACGAGACTCTCCCCTTCCTTCAAAGGCACATGTGGTCAAGTGTCCAGAAGTCCAGTGAGAGTGGGGAGAGCTCCGACTTCACCTCCACAGTTCCTGGAGGTCCTGAGATGATTCCTCTCAGCAAAATACATTTGTAAAAGGTGTTCTTTTAGTACCAGACCCAGCTCCTTTGCAGGAGCCAGAAGGCTTCAGTTACCCTCGACTGCTTTTATGGAGACCCCGGGACAGACTGGTGTCACCACTTGTGCAGTGTGTGAGTGGGAAGGGAACATTGAACAGGTGTTTGGGAGCCGAGAATCCTTGACTGCTCTGGACAGTTATCTTGCTTGCACATCCTTTTTTTGCTTATGACTTACACATGTCAGAATACGCTTGCCCTGACTGGGGGATCTGGGGGCGTGCCTCACTTCCCTGCAAGCCCCTGCCGTGCCCGCTTGTTCATGCACCGTCACCTTGCCAGGGCCCAGGTTCTCCGGACGCAGTGACAAAAGGCAGTGTGGACCACCCTGTGTAGGGAAATGATCGCTGGCCTTACGTGAGGGGGACTTGGACTTCAGTTCCAGCTCCACTCTGATGTGAGCTGCTGAGTTTTGGGCTGTAGCTTTGCTTTTGTTCTCAGAGCCTCAGTTTCCTCAGCTACAGAAGGGAGAAGGAAATCAGTGTTTTTCAGCTGTTTCACAACGTTGTTTTGAGGGCCATACTCAGCATTAGGATGGTCCGTACAGAGGAAGCGCCTTCGGACAGAGACCCGGAAACCAGATGGGTTAATATTTTGAAACATCCAAGCTGATCTGTTCAGGGACCTGGCACCTATAAGGTTCTTAGTAATGGACATTGGCCTAATTGTAATCCCAGTTTTGGAATTTTTAAGATGCTTGATTTTTTTTTCTTCTATTAACACCTCTCTTATAGGACCGTGCTGCTGTAGTTCTGTGAGGCAGGTAGTCCATCCCCCCCGCCCCCCATGCCACTGTTCATCCGTGCCCAGATGAGGCTGAGGCACATCCAGCTCTGGTTTCTTCCAGGCAGTTTTGAGGTGCTGCCCACTGCCCCTGCTGCCTGTCCTGGGCAGGGCTGCGGCTAGAGACTTTTCTGCCTGTCCTCCCAGAGGGAGAAGACGCCTCAGATCTACGACGGCTGCGCGCCAGAGTCGGGTAGCTGCCCTGGGGCCGGAAGTAGCTGGTACCTCCCTGTGCTTGCTTTGGTTTTGAGTGTGTGAGGCTTGCGGTCAGGTCTGAGGGTGACCCCCTAGCGATCTAGAAGCCAGGCCGCCCTGCCACCGTCTCTGGCACTTCGAGAAGATAGGAACGCCCCTGCCAATTGATTACTGGTGAGAAACAACAGATTTTGCTAACTCCTCTCCTCGAAAATAAATGCAGTCCCGATATTCCATTGTTAGCAGCGGATCTACCTTTCTGACTGGGAACTTCATTAGCAAGTGTTAATCCAGATCGCAGCTCTTCGGCTCTTCGGCCTGGATTGTCCGCAGCCCTTCCCGGGATCCTGGAAAGCAGAGCTACGAGGCAGAGAGGCGGTTGGGAGGGGGACTCGAGCCAGCCAGCATTGTCCTTACCTTGAGAAGCCACTAGGGAGAGAGCAAGCCGCAGCCTCCTGCTTTAGCTGACCCCGAGAGCAGATGGGCACCAGGACTACTGTACCCCTGTGAGCAGGGGATTTAACAGGGCTTTATTTAGGGAAGAATGGGCTGATTAGCCGATAAAGAGCATGTAAGATGGTATGGGGCAGCCTTTGATGTCTGGCTGGCGCGGCAGGGAGCCGGGCGGTGAGTGACAGCAGTGTGTCACAGGATTACTCCGCCCGTGACAATACCGCTCTCTGTTCTGGCCATGTCACCACTCGGTTACAGCTACTTTTTCGGTTGTTATGCCCCTCTTTTGAAGGCATTTCTCTCTGCACCCTTACATCCTCTCACCCCACCCCTGCCTTGCTAATGCAGATGGGCGCTCAGCGATACAGTAGGCACCTTTTTTTTTTTCTTATTTGGGGAAATCTTGTCACTCCTGGAAGAAGAATGACTTAGCAACTGATGTGCACACGGACCGTATAATTGTGGTCAGGGTAAGCAGCCGCAAGACGTGACGGATTTTCCACACCTCAGTCAGGGCTCAAGCAAATGCCAGTTGCTGCTTTTTGAGGACTGGGAAGAAAAGTCCATTAAACCCCACAAAGTGCAGAGAGTTATGCTGTGGCCACAGTGATTGTTCTGAGCTCAGGCGTCTCCTCCGAAATCCATCTGTCAAGAAAGAGAGTGGTTCCTTATGTTTTCTTGGGGTGGATCAAGTAATAGCACTAAATTCTCCAAATTATTCTGCCTTCCGTGTTACGGGGTTAACTGCATAGAATAGCTGTACGTTATGTGCAGATCTCTGATACCTGTCGATCAAATCCATGCCGCTATGAGCAGAATCCTGTCTCACTGCATCACGCACCAAACGAGGGGTTCACCTGGGCGTTAAAGCGCGAAGCAAGGGCGGGTTAGCTGAGGAGACTGCTTCCACACAGTGGCAAAGGGAAGTTTTATCTCATCTATATGCCTTTATTCCTTCACTTGACCACTGTGGAGAAAAAAAAGAATAATGGCCCCAAATGAGATCTTAATCACCAGGCCCATGTCTGCTTTTTTCAGTCCTCAGTTCTGAAAGGGAACGCAAAAGGCTTCTCCCCTGCTCACAAATACAGTCATAGGTACAAAACTCCTCTGACACCGACACACAGACCTGCCAGGGCAGCCCCCACCCCCACCCCGAACACCGACACAGACATGCACACAAGGAGTCGGTGCTGTTGGTAAAATATTGAATGGCCCCTTGGCAACATCCGTCACGAACACGGCGTTTTCCTTCTGTGAAATGCAGTTCTGGTTTTGAGGCTAGGTAGATTCCGCGGTTCCCAAGAAGCAAAGGTAACCCACCTTCCAAAACTTCCATCTTCCCAGGAGATGCAGGGACCCCGTGCTGTCTGCTGCGGGAGGGCAGAGTGGTGGTGTCAGCCAGGGTGTCTGTCCGTGCGGTCACACACACGAGTAGTGAGCAGCCAGGCCATGTGGGCTGCGAGTCCACCTCCCTCATGCTCTGTGGAGAAGGGTTCAAGAACATACTTCTTCACGGTGTCCGCGCCACTGCGACAACACGAGTGCACGAGTCTGTGGCTTGAACCACCCGATCTCGTGTGAATTCTGTGCTGTGATCAGGAAAGCCCTGCTCTGCCCCAAATGATGTGATTTGTAGCTACCAAGACTTGTCTGCCCCTGCCTTATGCCCCTGTGTCTTCCTGACGTTTTTCCTAGTGTGTGGAAACATCTTGGACGTCACCTTTATCAGTAATCCAGTAACTATGCTCCTCTGTTCTCGACTCCTTCTTTTAAAATTAGTAGAGGAAAAGCAGTCCAGATTGTTGGCTGTTCTTAAAAGAAATGCAGCTTTGTTTATACACATTTTCTTTTTTTTTCTTTTTTATGTTTATTTTCAAGTGAGTGCAAGTGTGGGAGGGGCGGGGGGGGGGGGGGAGACAGAGGATCCGAAGCAGGCTCCGCCCCGAGCACAGAGCCCGATGTGGGGCTTGAACTCAAATCGTGAGATCATGACCTGAGCCAAAGTCATTTGCTCAGCCGACTGAGGGCCCCCACACCCCCAGGCACCCTGTACACATTTGCTCAACCGACCCGGTTAAGGTGTGACCAGGTAGTTCCTGATCTTATCAAGCAGGTAAACAGTCTAAAGTGAAGGATCTGTTAACCCTTAGCTGCTGGATCTGGGTGTGCTGGGCCAGCGCTCGGCAGGCTGTGGTCAGTGCCAGCGGGTACACAGGGCTGGCTCCCCTGGGTCCTGGCCCCGGGTCAGAACCACCGGCACCAGGCGTGCTGTCCCCACAGACCTGGATCCAGTGTATTCCCTGTACCGGGTAGACTTCCTCATGTGGAGGGTGCTTGCCGGAGATCTCTCCTCTGAATGACCACAAATGTTCTATCACTAAAGTTCACACTGGAGGTTTTGCAGAGCTCTACTCGGGACATTTTTCATTTTTGAAGCCCTTTGCCCTGTCACTACTTCTGATCCGTGGCTCTTCAGTAACTGCGGAGGGCTCTCACCCTGACCAATGCTCTAGGGCCTCTGGCTTTTTTTTTTTTAATATATTTTATTTATTTTTGAGAGACAGATAGAGACAGCATGAGCAGGGGAGGATCAGAGAGAGGGAGGCACAGAATCTGAAACAGGCTCCAGGCTCTGAGCTGTCAGCACAGAGCCCGATGCGGGGCTCGAACCCACGAACCATGAGATCATGACCTGAGCCGAAGTCGGACGCTCAACCAACTGAGCCACCCAGGCGCCCCTAGGGCTTCTTAGGTGCCGAGGGCCACACAGGGATTGAGCCTGGATGGAACCACTACGTCTGTGCCCTGGCACAAGTGATTCTGCCGCTCCCCGCCCGGT